CTGTCTTGAACAAAGTTTACGTTACCAGTCGTCTGCATAGGACCCGTAGAGAGTCCCACGAGGGACATTTTTTCGATGCTACGGCGTCACTGCTCAATGGGCAGATCTTGTACTCAACTCGAGAATAGAGGTGTCAGTCGTTGTTTTATTAACTTAATTCTGCTCTAATGACTTATGCACAGTCACTTGTCTCGATTTGGAAGCCATCAAATCAATCAATTTGTGCCTTCAGGATTCTTTTCACACCAACGCCGCCACTGTCATAATGATCTGCCATCTTGACCAGTTGTTTCGGCATGGCTCATGGCATTGTCCAGAAACAGTTCCGTGCACAAGCTCGGCGACTCTCGACGTCTGCAATCTCACGAGGTATTCAACATTCAGTGGCGCCAGCCTCCTCAAGGCCTCAAGGCCTGTAGGAACTGCCAATCAATATCGTGGATCCACTGCTGCAACTTCAAAATTGATCCCTGGCAGGTCCTATCGTGGATGCCTATCACAATAAGCGTGGTATTCGCCATATGATTCATGCGCACGACGCATTCTTATGTGCAGCTATCCCCCAACCAGAGAACTCTAACTTTAAGGGTCTACTACAAGTGGGTTTCCGAAGCTTAGTCGGCTTGCAGAGTATGTACTAGTAAGTACTCTGTTCACTACTTAGTTACTTGTGCTGTTCTTTGGGTGTGTATGTATACGTGGCTAAAGTTTTATGCCGCTGGCTTGGTCTAGAATATCTCAAACCAGACATTAGTCCTACTCAATAACGATTTTATTTGACCATTTTATTTCGTGACAGTTCGTGCTTAATGCTTCCGAAATAAAATGCAAATAAAATGAACAAGCGACACGTTCGGCACGCACATAGCGGCGCTTGAAATCTCCTAAGCGAGGCGCAGGTGTTTGGACTGTGCTCATCGGCGCACGCGTCGTTGAAACACGTTCACGCCACCATGGCAGATAGTTCCCCGCACGCCATAACGTCCCTCGAAGCACTTGCCGTCATCCTACTGGCCGATGCAGAGACACCGGATGACCAACTATTTGCAGCAACCATTTCACTGCAAGCACTCGATGCATATCTGCCCCATCGACTGATCGTACATGGGCAGCATATTTTCTGGGGTGTTGTGGTGACCGTATGTGCTTTCTTGCTGGTCCATGTTGGCATCAGTGTTTGCGATGTTGAGCACTCGTACTTAGTTGCACCCAGTCGGCATTTCGGCAGCTCTCTCTCATATCAAACTCCGTACTCGATACAGTATGCCAAGTGTGAAATAAAATGGCAAATAAAATGGCTACTCAATAAGGTGCCTATTTTATTTGTTGACTGTCATCATGCTTACGAAATAAAATGGTCAAATAAAATCGTTATTGAGTAGGACTATTGGGTTTGTGGGAAAATGGAGCGCGTAGCTCCCATTTGTTTCGAGCCAACATCCAAGTCTAAAACGTGATTGATGTACAGGACAAACTACTTGACTGCTCGTCGTTTATTCGTCGGTACCTCTGGAGGGGCATACCGAAGTACAGTCACTCAAGAGCACTTGATCCCTACTGATGACACTACACAAGTACCCAACTCCACCGATAAATGGGCGATTGAAACTCGTCATCCGATTTACTAGTCAGATTGGGTTTTTTTGGGGGGGTCGTTGAACCCGCATCCTAGCTACTGGTGTGCACCTGTTATAACATGGTGTCTCCTCTCCAAGCCGACCGACGCGCCAATATCATCTGATGGTAATTAGCTGTGAAGCGTCGTCTGCCACTGTTGAAATGTTTGAGTCACTGGTTCAGTTCTGAGCGCTCAACTTCAACTTGGTATTTTTACCACCACTCATTTGTCCCTTTGCCCCTAACTGCAAGATTTCCGAAACAACTGGAACAGTTGAACTCAAATGACATAATGGGTACTATTTTCCGGGACTTTGGCATGCCATCAATGAACACATATCGAGAAAGATGGAACGATTCCACCGTCAGAAGGTTTCAAATAACGCCACCGATTGTCTTCTATGAACCCGAGCTGATGAGACTCGAAGTTTCATGCATACTTAGGCCTTGCATCTAATTTCAGGGCTAGCGGGGAACTCCGCGAAGTTTCACAAAACGGTGACAACTTGAACGGCGTTCTCGCCATTGTCAGTCTAGAGGCCAGTATCTCGTCATGTTTGAAACCCCCCGACGTCATTATTTCAAAAGACCAGCTTTGGCATGCCAACGTAGCGAAGCCTTTCTGATTTACGTAGGGCAATCGCGATCCCATGTTGTGAAAGTTGCCAACTCCGGCGATATTTTATAGAGTGTCTGCGAGTTGACGAAACCGAGGAAGCGAATAAGTACGTCAAGTAGCGTGATTTTTGCGAGGTCGTGCCCTTTGGCGTACCAGTACTGCCAAACTCTTGTCATTGAGGTTATAGGCTCCGACCTTCGGACAGAGATCTGTAGATACTTCGTAGAACCTCGAGGCGGGGGGCTTCTACTTGAAACTTTTTGCGACAGGTCCTGGATGCTATTACACTGCAGGCTCGTGTGCAGTTACATGCTCGCCTCCGATAGGACAACGAAACCTGGCTCAGGGTAGCCAGGAAGGTAACCCGTATGGTTGGTTTCAGTACAACGAATGACAGGCGCAAGTTTGTGTGGGACTGACGAGAAAAATTCAGATAGAACGTGGAAGTATCATATGTCTTATCTGATGGTTCTGACCGCTGCATCTACAATGATTTATAATGCACCTACGGTGGGTTCACAGTGCGAAGTCGAGGATGTGACTTTGACTTACCAAGTTTCTCTTAGCAGATATCCGAGAGCCAATCCGCGAACCCGCATGGTCGGACAAGAGTGATCGGAGAACCGATTGAGACAAAGTTTTGCACCAGCCAGTTTGTCCGTGTAAGCATTGCTATCGTAACGTTGAACAGCCCATTCGTTTCCAGCTCAATGCTCTCATACAGCCCATTGTCGAGCGGCTTCGGGCCTGACATGAGAGGTTAGCCTACAATTCACATGGAATGGTAATCAATGTATGAGCGACGGCACAGGAATCTTACATCGCACTAGGCACCGGACGCCATTCCAAGAGCTGACTGACGGTTGCAAGGGCGACTGCCACATCTCTGGGAGTCCAATGCTATTCCTGTCGACAGATTTCGGGCGGATTTCTTCAAAAGTCAAAGACACGTTTGTCGCTATTAGCAAGCAGTGATGGGATCGGCCCCTCAAGGAGACACGCTTGTGGAAAACCGACGCCCGGGATCCCACAACACTCTGATAGCCTACGAATAATCGTGCAAAATTGTGATGCGTTTCAACGAAAGGCGTACCATAAAAGGCAACTGGCTCCAGAAATTGCTAAAGAGGAATAAGACACTCACGTTCGGAACGAGCCGATCGTATGATCTCACCGTGGCTGAGCGCATATATCACTAGTAGTAAGCATCGTTCGACTAAGCCCATCTCTCTCTAAGACCATCATGACCACATCTCTTGACCTTCTCAAACAGACCGGAACCGTTGTTGTCTCTGACTCCGGTGATTTCGAATGTGGGTCCGCCATTGTCCATCCTGTTGATCATGCACTGATATTCTGGTAATCTTATCAGCAATCGACGTTTACAAGCCACAGGTGATCACTGCAACGAATCTATGTTTAATGCACCTGTAATTAAACAGTGTATTGTTAGGATGCTACCACAAACCCATCCTTGATCTTGGCTGCTGCCAACAAGCCAGGATATTCTCGCCTCATCGATGCCGCCGTCAAAATCGGCAAGAGCAAGGGCGGTAGCCTCGAGCAGCAAACTGATGCTGCTATCGACCGTCTGGTCTGTCTTTGTCAGCCTTGCGCTGATACTCTTACTGATGAATATTTATAATCAGCTTGTCGAATTTGGCAAGGAGATTCTTGCTATCATCCCTGGCCGTGTATCGACGGAAGTCGACGCTCGTCTTTCCTTTGACAAGGAGGGCACCAAAGCCAAGGCAAGTGATGTTGTTGCATACCTTGACTGGGTCCTTATTTCTAACTATTCTTAGGCTAAGGAGCTCATTGCCCTCTACGATTCTGTTGGTATCAAGAAGGAGCGTGTTCTCATCAAAATCGCAGCGACATGGGAGGGTATCCAGGCCGCTCGTGAACTCGAGCGTGATGACAACATCCACTGCAACTTGACCCTTCTTTTCGGTTTCGGCCAGGCTGTCGCTTGCGCTGAGGCAGGTGTCACCCTCATCTCGCCCTTCGTCGGTCGTGTATGTCTTCATCACTTATCTAATCTACGTGTCACTGATTGACATCTTGCGCTCAGATCCTTGACTGGTACAAGAAGTCGACGGGAAAGACCTACGAGGGTGATGCCGACCCTGGTGTCCAATCAGTGAAGAAGATCTTCAACTACTACAAGCAATACGGCTACAAGACCATCGTCATGGGCGCTTCCTTCCGTAACGTGCGTATTTGTTCGCTCATGCAACATCGCACGAGTCTTACTCGGTTTGCAGATTGGCGAGATCAAGGCCCTCGCTGGTGTTGACTTCCTCACTATTGCCCCCGCACTGCTTGAGGAACTCAAGAACTCTACTGCGCCCGTTCCCAGGAAGCTCGACGCCCGTGCTGGTATGTACCTTGTAGTTTCTATGTAACAAACGACTAAATCCCCTCCCCAGCTGCACAAGCCGATCCCTTACCCAGGGTCTCTTTCGTCGACAACGAGCCTGAGTTCCGCTGGGCCCTTCTCCAGGACTCGATGGCATTTGACAAGTTGCACGAGGGTATCAAGAAGTTTGCTGAGGATGGCGAGACGCTCAAGGAGCTCCTCCGCCAGAAGTTACGTGCTTGAGTTTCCACCGATTTATAACAAGGCAACGAGTAGTAATAATATTGTAGTTACGCATCAACAAAATTGACCGCCACTTGTGTATTGTACTTGGCAATACTTAGACTTTTTCTTTCTGTACATCGTGACCCATACATCATCCAGCTGCGGCGATAAGGTTCGATGGGTGTGCAAACGTTCATGAATACATATATTGCGTGTGTGCAATTAGAATGAGGCATACATACACGTAACTATGTTGCGACGACAGGCAATGGAAGTGACAATCTAGAGACGTAAAGTAATCTGAGAAGTGACATATTTTGTGGGTTATGAAACATCATTACTAGAGACAAGACTGTACAAGAAACACAATCAGGACGCTCAGCTTCCCTAACGCTACACAACATCAACTCACCATACAGGTACACTTCGAAGAAGCATGCAAAAATGAACGGACGACCGCAATATCGATCGATCAGAGAGCCGATACGCCCTCCTCCCACTCCTCCCTCGTGACGGATCCCAAATCACGGCACACTGGGCACGACACCTCCACGTACGGCTCCGCTTTATCTTCCACACCCCATCCAGCAACCCGTTCCGCACTAACCAAGCACGCAGGGTGGAATGTATGCGCGCACAAAGATCCTTCTCCAGGATGCGATAATGGATGTATCGAGAGCTGTTTCATGGACTCAACCACTATTTCAGGGATGGGATCTTCGTCAGAGGGGCCAATGCCACACGAGGGATCGTAGCACCGTAAACCCGCCTCGCGCTCCTTCTGCTCCACGCGTTGCCGGAGCGAGGGACCGGGAGCGGCAGGCAGCATCCATGTCTTCCTCTCGCGGCGCGGAGGCATTGGACGCGTCGGGCGGATAGGGTGCGCATGCGGGAAGTTAAATGGTGGTGGCATCGGCAGGGATGCACCACCCAGAGGGGGCACATTAGCAGGAGGAACCTGCGCTCCGTCAGCAGGTGGCTCCTGCCCTTGTGTAGGCTGAGGCTGCCCCTGTGGTGCAGCGGGTCCGTTGTTGAAGATTGGAACGGGGATGAAAGTACGCGTAGCACTCTGAATGAGATTGTTGATAAAATTTTGGAACTCCTGGGGCACCTGGCCGACACCCGGTGCTTGGCCTTGTGTTTGCCCTGGAGCTGGCCCTGGAGTTTGGTTCTGCGGCTGCTCCTGGGCTTCATTTTGAGGCTGGGGCTGTGGTTGCGGCTCCCCTTGTGGCTGGGACTGCCCCGGTGTGTGAGGCTGCTGCTGTGGTGGTGACATCCCTGCAGGCAACGATTCGTCGAAGAACAGATCGAGGCCGATGGTTAAGAAGTCGCCTGCTTGTGGCCCGCCAACAGGACGGTTATCTGCAATGTTAGGAAGGGACTGCGTACGGCTGCGAGGAACTGGAGGGGGCGGCATGGGGCCTGCCCCAGCTGGGACAGCTCCTGCTCCACGACGAAATAAGTCCTGGAGGTTGTTCCCTCCGCCAGGGAACTGCAGGATATGCACAGTGGCTCCGGGGCCAACAGGCACGCCATTCGATAGGGTGAAGCGCTGGCCGGGTTGGCCAGGGTTGAAGAAATTAGGGGGAATTTGGTTAGCTGCAGGCTGAGGCGCTGGCCCTGCAGCTGAAGCTTCAGGGGCGGCTGGTCCTGCAGGCGGAGGAGCAGCTGCAGCTTGCTCGGCAGTAGGAACTGGTACGGATTGTGCTGCATTAGGCGCAGGCGCAGCAGCAGCTTGTGCAGCAGGAGTAGCACCGTTTGCTTGTGGAGTTGCACGGGGCGCAAAGTTGAAAGGGTGATGAGGAGGCGGCGAACTGGTAAGGTTCTCGGGATCGATGTTGAACCGACATGTTGGGCACGTCGCTTGCTTCGCCCTTGTGAACCAGGGGAGTAAACATGATTCATGGAAGACATGAGCACAAGGAAGGGAGATGATTTTGGGTGCCTCAGGGACGGATGTTTCTAACGGAGAATCGAAACTCTGGGAGCTAGACGGCAGGTCTGAATCTGTCGAAGTGGGTATTGATGGAGCAGATGCAGAATCGGTGTTAGCTCCAGTAGGTGGTTCCTCGGGAGCCTTCGGTTTAAAGCTATCACTCTCAGCATCCAATAAAGTATCCCAACAGATTGCACATCCCGGAGAGGAAGAGTCGGTGGTCTCTGCGCCATCTACGTGGCCACCAGGCGCACCACCAACTCTTTCCAAGCGCTTTACGAGCCCTGTGGGTACGGTCTCCAGACCCGCAATGAGTTTCTTTGCTCGTTCAGGATCTTCACGATTATCATCAAGCCCCCCGAATTGTTGCATTTGCTGCAAAAAATCTGCGAATGCTTGAAGAAAATCATCCCGACCTCCAGCAGCATCCGGAGGCACATTCGCTGGACCGAATGGGGGCGGGGCGGCGCCACCTCCATTCTGATTGGGAGGACCTCCAAGAGGTATTGTGAAAGTAAAACCTGCAGTTAAGATAGGCACGGCATGATGTGCGTGACCAGGGATTGGATTATTTTGCGGTTGTGGAGGATGGGCAACGCCCTCACCAGTATGTTCTACCGTGATATTCTCAGCACCAGGTGCAGGTCCCGGTGATGCATTACCACCAGGAAATGGATTCATCCCAAATAAGGGAGCCATGAAGCCATTTATGAATGCCTGGGTGCCGGCAGGTGGGTGCTGCTCGGTGTTAGACGGCTGTGGAGGAGGCAAAGGAGGCGAGACAGGACGACCTACACGCTCTGAAGGATGTCTGCGATCCCGGGCTTCGTCTATATCATCATCTACCCGAGCGCGTCTACTCCCAGCGATAGGCTCGAGCGGCGGTAGATCGTCTTCATCGTCCGTCCAGTCACTGTCGTGGTCATCATCGACGGCCAGGAGATTGGGTAAAGTCTCTGCACGAGAGGACTGGCTGTCGTCTGACTCATCAGAGTCAGATACGGAGCGCAGCTCAGGCATGGAGTCCTCATCATCATCGCGGGTGGGCTGGGCTTGCAAAGATGGAATACTGGAAGCAAGTGGCATATCTACATCTTCTGCAGATGGTACAGGCTGCGAAGTCTCGGCGAGAGGCGGAAGGGTAGAAGTTTCGGGAACTGGGGTCCTGTCAAGATCTACTGCAAGTTCATGGGCGTCTATAGGCTCGGCTGGGAGCGCGTCAGACATGATGACTTCCTGTGTGGAGTTCTGCTGTGCAGGATGACTGTGATTATGGGAGAAAGCCTGGTTTATATTTCGAAATACGTTCTGAAGTGTCGTTGGTAGATGGAAGTTGTGACCAAAACGATGACCACGGCCGTCGTCATTACCGCTGTTGCTGTTGTCCATGAGAAATCTGAAACTGTGCCCCACGATGTACGCAGTCGCACCAAAGAAAGTGGTAGTGATGCTGTAGCAGTGGTGGTGGCGGTTGTAGAACAAGGATGAACGAACGATTGTCTCTTGGACCAGGGCAATCTATCCACAATGCCGTGTTGATGACTAATCCCGTGTTAATGACTAATCATATCCCGTCTAGGAAGCACCAGAATATTCCCGTCGTATCCGTTTATCTCTCAAACGTCGAGCAACTTAAGTTAACAGGCGAACTTCATTCACGCACAATAAGTACCTACAAGTAGTATAAAGGATATCAGCAACACAATCTGAAGTCTCACTGCACCTTCTTCCCCTTTCCTTTCCCTTTTCTCTTCTGCTTTTGCTTTCCGACGTACTTGCGCACGCTTGGCACACCGAACTATATTTTCAGTTTTAGCCAACGTGAAAGACACAAACACTCGATGGACAAGGGGCACGCACCCTGATTGCCGGATACAATACCAACAAGATTCCCCCAATCATCCATGCCCACCGAACATACAATGGAAGTGGCTCCCTAAACCGATCCTTGCCCCATTTAGTGATGACCAGAAGCTCGGTCAAGATCGTGGCTAGAAGGAGCCACACATGTTGCCCCATTCGTTTCGCTTTCCTAAGAATGATGAGAAGATATTTGAGAGTCACTCGCACAGCATACATACCTCGGGTTGTTTATGTATTGGTAAAGCTCTCGTACGGCAGGCAATGCGCAAAGAAAGACGCCTGCTAGCCTTAGTATCACAATCGGATGATCAGGCTCCATCCAAAGGAGACTCTACGATTTCCGTGAGAATCGCAACCAGGGCAACGGGGACATCAGTGTGCTGACCTTGAGATAGAATGGATTCAACTCCGCAGCCAGGAAGACTGCTAGGAGCAATACGACTATCAGATAGTGCAAGAATGATGCAGTCCCCTCCCATTTGAATGCCGTCCAGTCATGTGGGGAGAACTGGCTGAGCACCCGGCGAGCCTTTGACCGCAATCCCCTAGTTTGCCGTAGACCGCGCCACTCGTAGGGCTGAAACATATGTGTTTATAGCACCCACAGACGAGGTGATCGCTCACCTTCACTTCCAAATATTGACAAGTCTTCATGCCTATTATGTCTTATTAGCATCCTATACATGTTACATCCGAGATTCTTGATACTCACCCAGATAAGTTCCTAACCAGTTGCAGACTAGAACATCAAGTATCCACTGCGGAAGCAAAATTATCAACTGTCAGGTCAAGAAGATGATGGCGTACATGGTCCCACCAACACTGTCAGTCGACGAGTTTTTTTTAAAATCAATGCTAATTGTCATGTGGTAGATTTGGCGGCATACCTCGGCAAAGTTCGCAAGTTGATGTTGTAGGCTATACTCTGCGAACTCAAATGCAATGCTCAGAATCTAAGGCTGAGATGTAGATCGGTATCAAAGAGAAGATAAATTAGGAATACCCAACAAAACCAATAGTCACGCAGTATCATGGCCTTGCCGAACCAGCCCAGAGCATGCGCTAGACAAAATATATCGATTGAATCCTATAGACTGATCAGCATCACTGAACTATGTAGCGACGGTAAAAATATCTCACCCAGATATTCTGCGGCGTCAATTCGCAGTGTTCCGCATAGCTCTTCTCAGGTAAAGGCCGGTTTAGTGAAGGATCCAAAAGGGTCATCATTCGTCGCGCAGAGTTCAGATCTTGGAATAGCAGGAAGACGAGAGCAAGCTCGTAAAGTAAATTGATCCCAAGTATCGCACGCCAAAATGCGGGATGGGGACGAATGAATGGTCCATCCCGGAATTGGATCATTGAGAACATGAGGAATGAGACTACTGCAGCATAGGCGCCCCTGTTGAAGAATGTTGGTGGTTACTATCAAATTCCACACAAATACACCATTCGGACGCACACACGCCGTTTGTCCCGGCCTTCTTCCAAAACGTCCTGGGTCATAGCTACATAGCTCAACGCAGCCAGGCCAAATCCGAGTGCAGTTAGCGTAATTGGCTTATAGAAAAACCTGAGGGCTGTGAGCACGAAAGACTATCATAATGCGTACAACTACTCACTCTATAGATGTATCATGCAACTCTTGGAAAGGCGCAATTCGCGTATACGACTCTGTCCTATCCGCCTATATGTCACGATTCCCACTGAACCTTTAAATTTAACTATTCCAAATTCGTCCACTCACATCACACCCTATGGAGTTGAACGCTCAGATTGTGAGTTGCCGCAAAAAAAACAGAGCCACTCACAGCGAACGGGTTTACCATTGAGCCCAGGTTCTGGCCTAGCATCGAGAGGCGGTGAAAGCAACGCGTCGGGATCCGATTCTTCCACTTGAGACGTGGACGATGTATTCTCGGCTTCGTGAGCCATCGCAATGTAGATGATGGTTTGAATGCACGCACGAGCTAGCTGTAAGGCTTGGCCTGCCCTGCTGCTCGTTTCATTTAGGTGACACGTGAGCAATGTTACCAATAAGGATCAGTTTTGATGGAATTTCGCTTTCCATGGAACCAATTCCGAACAGAACCGCTGAGTGATTGCAAGTTACAGCCCTCAAGTTTTATTATACTCTACTATAACCAACGATATACAGTCGTCCCTTTTTTGACGCGAATGTCAGATAGCATACATAGCCTTGGGCGTATCGAGTCGCGGCGAACACAGGAAGGATCTCACGTATCCAGTGCGTAGGCGGAATGACGAGCATATGCAATTGCGGTCGATACGGGAACTAATTTATCATTTTCCTAGGCTTCCATGGTCGCTGCCCACGATATATGGAATGTCGGTCGTCCATCATTGATTAATCAATCGAACATTTGAAAAAAAGGCACCAGAACATACATCGGTCAAGGCCAGGTACTGATGGCGGCCTGAACTCAGCGGACAAATACTTGGGGAGAGTTCTCGAACCTTGCGACCGCCGCGGCAGGCGCTTTGGAAAGCCAGTCGAGTGCGCGTTCTAGGACACCAACCTGCCTCGATTTGCTGCTACCAACCAACCAACCACCGAATCATCAAACCTAAATATTGTGTGCACGTGCGCGTTGACTAGTAATGAAAGGGGGCTGTAATGTCCTGCTCTGTTCTGTCCTGTTGTAATCAAGTAAATGCTAACGGAATATTCTTTGATCAGCGATTGATCGCTTGCCATAAGTCGAAGATGCATTTTCAAACATTGAACCCCAATTCGAACCGTCGGCATTTTTTAATTATATCACCCCTCTCCCGGTCAGCACACTTGCGTTTCAATTGTCAACCATAGACATCACCAGACAAGCCATGTGGTCGAAACAACATCGATGAGAAACCCTATTGAATCGCCGTCGAGAGCTGGCCCCTCTCCCATACTTGAGCGCCTTGACTTTTATCCATATCTGTCGAGATTAATTCATTTCACCCTCATTTTCTCATCAGTCATGTCAATTGAATACTCCGACGGCATCACGCAGTGCCAGCAGTTGCCCCCAGTCGGATCTTCGGCCGGGCTTACCGGAGCGACCATCGTTCGGATGCTCCTCGTTTCATTTCGCGAGCTGTACGAACTTCGAACGTAGTATGCATGGCTTCAAGTTCTTCGACCTCTGCGGCCTTCTGCACCACATGTTGTGGGGCATCCCCAGTTCGTTTCGAGGGACGAGGCCCTTGCGAGATTCGATACCTCCGTTTCGTAAGCGGGATGGCGAACAGAGAAGTCTGATGAATATCTGTTCCATGACACACTTTCATGACACATTAATGTCAGAACCAATAGCAATGGACACTATTTGATACCATCGGTGAGAGGTCTCTTCTCCGAGTGCTTCGCTTCGGTGGTATCAAACAATGTTGCCATCCGTGCCGGAACATTTAGTCCATCTGTGCTATTCCTGATTTATTCTCAGACATTTTTGACGCGACGGCGGTTAAATGCATGGATTAGGAGTACCGAAACTGGTTATGTAAACCTTCCGGTCTTCGTAAACTTGAAGCATTTGGAGCATCATGATCATATGAACATTGGAGCTAGCGACAAGTTTACCGTAGGATTCAATTTAGGCGGTGCTTATCTGTCCACCCGCCAGTCTGTGCGTACTAGTGTCCGACGGGACGATGAGTGCTTTTTTGTGAATATCCGTGGGCTTCCCACTTGGTAGCAAAATTAAACATTCGATCGTCGTAGGGTTGAGGTTTTGCCAAGACTTTTAGACAGCAATTGATTGTCGATCCCATCAGTCTGGTAAAACGGTTGAGCTTTTCCTTCCGTCTTCTTCTCTCACTGGGCAATAGTACTAGCGTCCCTGCACATCTCAACTAATGGGTCTCCGTTTCATTTTGTACAAAGGACCTTCTCGAATTTCTAGAAGTATCAATACGAGGTGAGCTAGTAGCCGCTGGTGAACATTCCACGTAACCGGCGATCGAATGCTGTCCTCGGATTTCCTCCTGACGATCCTCGGCGCAGGAACGAGGTACCTGAATGTGCCAGCGTCATTTTGGCGATCTCACGCCATTGACGTCCCTGAAGCACCTGTGGAGGTGCGTGGCAAGGACCCCGGACAATGCCCGTAGAACCTTGATCCCGGAGCACGGGCCCGTTTCTGGAAAGTCCGGTGCGGATTCGTTCAGGGGATCATATCCCGCCAGATTTTTGGGTCTTGATACAAAGAAAACCTTTTCACTCAGGCTTCTTGCGATGAGCGTAGACAATTGTCCCCTTAAGTGGTCTCCATTTTACCCGTTATCTTCTAGTGTGATAATCTGGCATTGCGCCTGTCAAGAGTCCGTCCAGTGATCAGTAGCGGGACTGTTGATACCCGGGGTGGACAGTGAATAGAAGTTGTTTAGCCGTAAAAGTGCGCGTTGATAACAATAGAATGCGGTCGCCGCGGGAATCGATCGAAATCCCTCGCGGAATTGTTACTTGTAAATTTTTGAAGGATGGGAGGGGGGAGCAATGGCGTCAGTGCTGGCAATAGCACCGTACTTACCTGTCGTGCCTTTCCCCTCCTGGGGGGCTACAACCAAATACGATACGATTTGATCACATCATATACTGAGTCGAAAGTCCTGAGAGGGGATGTACGATGCCAAAGTCGCCGATGGTCTGACCAAGAAAGGCAAGGAAGGGTCCAGCAGCGGTCGGCTGCATTAGCGGAATTTCTACTAAGGGGGTGGCGATTTGTTTCCATCCCGAGCTGCTCGTTCGACTTGTGAACGGCGTGTTCTTGCTGCTCCTTCAGTAAGTTACGAGTTAGCTGACGCCACGTCGTACAGATGGGGACTCCTGATCGGACCATGTTAGCTTGATACCCTGTAGTTGATTACGCACCACCACGATGCCAATAAGTTTATCCAAACGCTGGAGCCACGAATTCGAAGTCAATGTTGGCGTGATTCGCAAGAATATCGGCATAGTCAGTAGCTTCATCGTAGGACATTTAGTATGCAGAGTGCGCGGTCACGGTAAGTGGAAGCTTCTGTGCACTAATCAGCAAGCGTTGTAGGTGACTAAAGGACTTTTGCTAAGTGGTCTGTTGTCCTCCGTGGTCGGACTCTGAAGCTTGAGGAGAGAAGCAAGTAGAGGGCAACCGCCTGTATCCGGACCGATGTAGATTTTGAAATGGACATGGAGGTGCATCTAGATCTGGGGTCCTATTACAGTCGCGGGATTTTACCAAAGTCATCAAGGATCATTAAGGAACCTCTACCTCGAAGTTGTTAACGACGTTTATGAGCAGAACCTGGAGCCCATGTGGCCGAGAAAGTACTGATACTGCGGTGGTATTCATTTCAAGCGGGCGTCTCGGAAAGTGCCTTGTGGACGACACGTCGGGATATGCCGAGACGGGCACAACAAATCGAATTCGGTGTTCTCCATGAATGGTTCTCAAGTGATGAATGATTTTGCCTAGGTTTTTCCAATCTGGCAGACATTAGTAGTGATGCCCATAGTGGACTGCGGTGGCCCTGTTCGGTTTGACTGTCGTTGAGTAGAAATACCTGATTGGAATCTGACCATATATTCGAAAAGGAAGATCAGAGCCAAAAATGCGGTAGGTTCGTAGTTCAAACTCAACTCAGATCAAGACTGTCCTTGCCGACTATAGCGGATCCTTTATGGATTCCCCCGATCTTTGACAAGACAATGCCCTCTCCGAGCAAAAGACGTAAGTATAGCGCTGTGATAGGGGACAAAGGTTGAACGCACGAGTTAACGTTATTGGGACCCCGGTGATATTCTCAGGCGTCGGGTCAACGGTGAACGTCGGGTGATGCAACGGTGAACTATGTCGCGGCGGTGTTCGCTGAGATTTAACTTTTCTGATGGGATTTCCGAGGTCACACTGCTTTTTGCATTTAGACTCTCTAGTGCGCGGTGGCTGAGTAGGAAGGAGATGTATCCAAATTAGGTAATCCAGGTCTGCGCTCACACGTTGTATTTATGTCACTTGTACAGGGCTGGATCCCACAGAGTCCACTTTTTGCGAAGAAGTCTACATCAGCCCGAGGTGATCTGGATCTCAAAAGATCTCTTATGGTCTGTTACTTAATACCCCGTCAACACATAAGTAACACTAGCTTTATTCTCTTAATCTCGTTTCAGCTCATTCCTTCCTCGCCTCTTGAATGTCCTCTGATTCTTTTCAACAACCACTACAGCTAAAAGGCGAAATCATGGATCTCGAATTCACCGTAGATACTGACCACCGCAAGAGAAGACGCAACAGAACAACTCAGTCATGTCTTAATTGTCACACCTCAAAGCGCAAGGTTCACTCCCTTTCTCTCTCTCAACCTATACCCATCTTTGACGCGCAACTAGTGTGATAGAAAACGTCCATGCCAGCGATGCATACAACTCGGCTTAGTACTCTCCTTCCTTTTCGCTTCTCTTATTACATATTAATTCCTCGTTTTTTCAGACTGGCCTTTGTGTCTATGAGATCGATGACCCAGCACTCAGGTTTGTGTTTTTTTTGGTGGCGTTCTACCACTTTGAGCTTATCTCATATAACTCAGGGATGATCCCACGATCGATGAAGCTACTCGTTTGAGGAACAGAATCGCAGAACTCGAAAGTCTCGTGAGGGAGTTGCGTGGTCCGTATCACTCACTCCATTCCCATTGCAGCACTCTTACCTCTCTCCTTTACGGCAGGCAAACCTCATCCTCGTTGGGCTGATGCCAATTTCCGAGACGGAGATCCATCTGAAAGATGGCATTCACGAGCTGCCAAGAACAACATGCAACTCAGACGGCGTGGTCGGTCTGACGACGTACTAGAGCGCACCAACCAAGAACCCCGGGGCTTGGTTTCTGCCGCTGGCGCGCCCATCAAAATTGAACCCGTTACAGACATCTCCCAGCCCCATCTGTATCGCTTTACACCATCCCCTCCGGCTTCCTACTCCGCATTTCATTCAGATAACTCTTCATCGCCACCATTTGAGCGTCAAAACGGTCATCATTACAGCAACAGCTTGCCTAGTAATGGGCGTTCCATGCCGTACTCATCCCCCACATCCAATCAGAACATGACGTATAGCCATCACCATACCGACTCCTCGTTTCAAGAAAACGGTCACGTCTATCCGATGAACTCCGCCGAACAAGATAAAGTTTTTGCCAATCATTTCTCTGACTCCCCCGTCTCGCATTCTTTTTGTTCGTGCCGAACAAACCCTGCCACCGGTCATGCCCTCATATCTCTGAGTCATCAACTGCAAAGTACACTGAACTCCTTAAGGCAGTATGCTCAGCATCCCGAGAACACCCAGTGCCAGCTGTTCAGGCGCATCATTGAATTGCATGATCTCATGCGGTGTGTTGTCCCTGCCTTGCCTCGCGGCGACCTCGTGTTCATATTAACTAATTTGTTTGTGGTGAGAACTAGTGGTAATGATCCGGATGAGGCATCGGGATCACCATATGGAACCCTTCCCACACCTACCGAAAGCGACATTTTGTCGTCGCATTCGTCCTCAAGTACCCCGTTCCACGGATCCTCATCAGCTTCTGTATCAGAGTGGAATGCCATGGCTTCTTCGAGATATAATCCATACTTCCCCGTTTCCCCAACTGAACAGGGTCTGTATAGTAATATCATCACATGAGCGGGCATCCGCTCCATCGTGAGCCACTCGTGCCAGCCCCTTTCAAATATATTTACTTCGTCATGCTGGCTATGACGATGCTATGATGATGCCTTTAGTCTTTTGTGCCTTAGAGTAGTAAAAGAACTACAGCACTTGTATATTACATGCCCTGTACTATCATCATACAACGTGCGGCCAACTACATAGACATCATTAATGAACCGGCTCCAATACAAAACGGAATTCACGCTGCGAGGACTGATCTGACAGTACAGGCTTGGCATCAACGAGCTTCCATCGATCTCTTTCGATAAACAACACTTCCCCGGTTCTTTTCACAAGTATCACCGTCGAAAGACGCGTTCCATAGAATTCTTGCGACCCTTGGATTATAAATGGTTCCACCTGGACTGTATTCCTCAGCTCTGAGCGTGCGCTTGGCGGCTGCGAAGACTTCCAACTGGGAAATTTGACCAAAGTAAGTGCGGAAGGGCTAGACTTGTCGCGTGCTTATACCCACGTCAATAGCTCAAAGAGATTGTCGGCTAGTTCCTTCTCCGGAGTGGTCGGCGAGACCGCCTTGATGATTGATTTGAACAAATGAAGCCCGTGTTGGACTTTTGGCCACAATTCAGCACCTTTACCATCAATTCCGTTTGACAACCCTCCACATCTTCTCTCGGCATCAGTCAACGGACGGACAACGAGCGTTCCTCCTCCGCCATGGTTGGTGACATACGTTCCATCGAACGTCAAGGCGTGTTCGCCACGGGTAGATGGTGTCAAGAGTAATAAATTAAAGCCTGCATATTTAGCATCGGGAGGGATAAGATTGTGTACGTCCTCTTCTGAATTGGACGAAAGAAAATTGGCAACGAGGTCGCCCCTGGAAGAACCATACGTCTTGTACTCTTCTGTGATGTTCGTTCTGTGAGAAAAAATGTTGTCAGGGGCGTGCAACCTGGTGAAGCGGGAACGGACAAAAAGGCAACTCTTCCGGACCGATTGACACCCAACCAGGTTCCACCGGCACGAACGTCAATGCCAGAGAGAATATTTCTCTCTGGAAAGCTATGTTCCTTTGGCTTATCGAATGAATGAAAGCAAGCGAATTCGGTGGGTCGTTCGAGGTATTCGTCACGGTTACTGCAAAGTACACTTAATTTGCCGCGTAGTCATTGTCGTGTCATGATAACGTATAAGATAGAAGGGCGGGACGTACAGGGCATATTCCGGGTGCTCGAGCGTGTAAAAACCAACGCACATTCTTGATGGTTAGTTATTTCAGGCGCAAATCAAGAGATCAGAAATAAGGTGCAATATCGCATGACTGCGATTATCGCTTCAGCATCAAAAACGGGTTCGCAGCGCGTTTACTCGCAGATATTAAATGATGTTATGGAGTCTAGGTTTACGATGGATCCTGTGAACGATGTGTCACGTAGGGAAAGTCGATACTGACTTTGAACGTCGGCTGTTCTCACTGGTGATGATTCGGGCGTTCCTCAGCTTGAGAATTTGGCAGAGAGAATGCGCAAAGTGACGAGATCGATGAAGAATGATGGTGATTCTCACGGAGGTCTCTTCAGCGAGAGCTCGTACCGTTCTCACGTGCACTTGACGTCCACGCGGGCCCAAAAAGTTTTGATCGCCGTTGGCCCCTACAGTACACCTTGACGACTCGAGTCGCAGGATCTTTCACCCCGCCGTGAAACTTATGCAGCCTCAGATCACGGTCATATTGGATAATGGTGCCTCTTCAATCAAGGCTGGTTTAGCCAGAGGACCTGAGGGAGATGATGACGACCAGCCCAAGTAAGAGTGCCTGCTTTTGAGAACGACTTGACGCTAGAGGAAACTCGAGATTGATCCCGAATGCCATCGTGCGCTCAAAAGGTGATAAAACAACGTATTTTGGTCATCAGTTGGAACGATGTCGGGACTATTCTGCTCTTCATTACCGTCTGCCTTTTGAAAAGGTTCGTGATCAAAATGTCATTCTTCTATACAAATTTGTCATTATCTGTGGAAGCACTGCAGGGTTATCTGGTGGACTGGGATGCACAAAAAGCTGTTTGGGACGGCGTATTCTCGTCCGAGGTTCTGAACGTGCGTACCTCTGGTTCTGGTTGGATGAAACGCTGACTAGGCACCTAGGTGGACACCGCCGAGTCCTCGTTGCTCATTACAGAACCGTACTTCAATCTGCCAAATATTCAAGATGTTTACGACCAGTTTGTCTTTGAGGAATACGAGTTTTATTCTTATCACAGATGTACACGTAAGTGACATCGTTCCGACCCTCTTCGCATCACTCAGCCTTTTTATTATTATCATAAGCGGCTGCAACGATCCCCTTTGGCCATCTCTTTCAAGCGGGCGGGCCATCGCCACCCGAGTGCCTTGTTGTTATCGATTCGGGGTTCAGCTTCACGCATGTAGTACCTATCATCAACAATCAAATACAATGGTATGCCGTGAAGAGGTGAGTTATATAAATGGACTAGAAGATTACCGCTTATATGGTTAGGCTCGATGTAGGCGGCAAGTTACTAACTAACCAACTGAAAGAACTTGTCTCATATCGCCAGTGGAATATGATGGATGAAACTTACATCATGAATCACGCCAAGGAGACATGTTGTTATGTGTCCACAGGATTCTTCGAAGACCTGGAGACCTGTCGGTAAGATCATGTCCGTTTGGCGATAGCGCAATTACCTAACCCCTGCAAGCTCGAATCCTAAAAAGAATAGCATAGTTCGGGAATATGTACTGCCAAATTTCTCCATCAATAGGCCTGGCCGCATCAGACTTCCCAACGAGGAGTTATCGACCACTGACCAAGTTCTTCACATGGAAAACGAGCGATTTACAATTCCCGAGCTGTTGTTCCGTCCCGATGACATCGGTCTGTTCTAATCACTCGTACACTGCACGGCCGTATGAAGTACATCTATCTAGGCTTAGAACAGTCAGGGCTGGCAGCCACCGTGGCTGCGTCTATCGCGCTCCTTCCGCATGACCTTCGGGGCATGTTTTGGGCAAATATTGGTTTGATCGGTGGTAGTACCAACTTCCCAGGATTTTACGAGCGACTGTAAGATTTTTTTATGTCATGTCACATCAAATAATCACTGCCCGCAGATCATCCGAACTGTTGTCACTTACCCCGGTCGAATATGAGCTGCAGATATACCGGTCAGAAGAGTGCGTCCAACATTCCTTGATCATTGCTATACCCAATGTGACAAAATATCAGTGCTATAACCGAAGCTTATCGCTCCGCAATTGCTTTTGTGAATGATCCTGCATTCTCAGCGCACGTTGTTACAAGGGAGGAGTATCTTGAAGTCGGCAGCAATGCCTCGCGAAGGAAATTTTCAGGGTGGCAATCATCATCTGCACCTGGGGACGCAGATATTAGTAAGATCACGCAGGAATCAATGATCGAAGATCGAGGCCAGCCCAGCCGCAAGCCTAACCGTTCACGAATGCGCACGACCACCGCACCAGGCCGGCGTAGATAGTGGCATGCACACTTTCGGTATTTGCGGGTTAACTATGATTAGATGCTATACCGTTTACACTTAAGCCTTAGCACCTCCTTCGGCCTTTACTAATATCAACTTTTTATAACTCGTGATTTGCGTATCAAGCTTAGTACATGTAGCATATGATCTCCAACCGCCGATTCAAACTATTACTCGTCAAGAGCACTGGATTCGTGATCTCTTGGCGTGCGTCCCGCGATGATACTAAAAATTATTGTTTAGTCAGAACCAGGAACTGATCGATGTCATGGCTAAACGAGTCACCTTTCAAGAGAGTCGATATCTCCTACGAAACTGAAAGGTTCCTTTATGTCCGGATGATTCCTAATGTCGAACCAAATCTCGGCCGGAAATGCGAAAGGTGTCACCAAAAGCCTTCCTAGTGTGGCTTTGGCTTCATCGTCCAATATCGTATGGAGAGATTCCAATCGGTTATGGTCCTTTCCCGCCCTATTCTCGAAGAGCTCAAGATCTTCGTTCCGAAGCTCGAATACCAGCGCCGACGGGTTCGTCTGGCGGACGCAAAGGCGAACCCCGAATGTCGTCCACTGCTTGTGGTCAATCCAGGGGAACAAGATGCTCGTGTGGAGCGCAGAGCTGTCCACCGGTTCGGTGCTGCTGACAGGAAAAATGGGGATGCAGTGGTTTGCAACCGCTGAGGGCTGTGGCGTATCTTTGGATACAAAGTGAACGATCACTTCTTCGACCGTGCTGTCATCGTCTTCATTCCATCTCACGAACGCCGAAGTTACAAGCCCGAGATAACGCCCAGGGGTATACTGGCAGATTTTGCGGTATACGTCGGAGTCCTCTGGATATTCTTGCGCGAGCTCTGCTGTTGACAACGCAAACACGATGAACGTCCCTGGGCATATTTTTCCGCTTGTTCGGTTTTGTGGAGGCGTAAAGATGTCAAAAGAGGATGTGAGTGCATCTGCTGATTGGCTTTCGGCGATGCTGTATCGCCGCTCGGTGTCAAAATCCTCAATCATCGTGTAGACATCTGCGCTAGATGGTATCCAGTAGTTGCTCAAAGGAGACGGTGGCGATAGGGATTGGAGGCGTGACATGTTGATAGACAAATGTTGACGGTTAATCTGGTACACTGTCAGCGCCGCCGCTCTAGCTTATATAGGTTTCAGAGGTTAAAGTGTTGTTGTGGAAGACAGGCTGTGGCACGAACAACGCTTTCGCCGATGTTGTGGCCCAAGCGCTGTGGCAAGATCTGAACAATAGCGCGAATGCCTAATGATATTCTATGAGCATGTTCCACTTTTTAATTGACCTTTTGTTTGTTGACCACAGGTGATTGATGAGCACCTCTGCACCATACAAGCGTCTTGACACTTGAGTGCCACAGAAATTCGAATCAGTCTACTTCGAGTGTTTCACATGCTCGTTCCCAAGTCTGTGGACACCCATGAACCTAGGCGTACGCTTGCTGATTGCAAAGTGGCGTTCCTCCGATCTACGCCGTTCTAGATGACCGTGGTATGTTATTGCTCCTGTCGGGGGGCACGCTATTCCATTCTTTTGCAGCTTTGTAATATCCAGTCGCAGACATCTCGGCTCACATACAAATGAAATCAATACCTTTCCCTCGTGTCGAACGCGCGTGATCAATTATCGCAGATCATGGTCTCGGCCCCCCTATTTCGTCACGGTGTTCATCGATGTCTTCCCGGATCCACTGGATCACGGTAGATCTGCGCCCATTAAACACCACGGGGACCGCTGACTATTTCAATTACGTGGAGCATCTTGTGTTCGAAGAAGATATGCAATATCATGCCTTCATGTCCAGTAACGAGGTACCATGATGTCATTGGCGCTCGACTGGTGTGCCGAACTACAGTCATGTTTTTTTGGGGATCAGATCGATCAACGTCTTTCTTCGAATTCGAATTTCGATTGTCGATTGGTGCGATCTAGCCGTTAACGTTTATTGGAAACTTTGCGACCACCGATCGATGTCGTGGTACACATTGTACTTGTCACGTTCCTCATGTCATCAGCGTTCCTTCACCAACTTGATAACTCGCCAGTTCATGCTCGGACCTATAAAGAAAGGAAGGTTTCCCCCTTCCAACAAAAACTCGACGTGAAATATTTACGACTCCATTCTGTATGAACAATCAACGCCCACCATCAAAATATCAATGTTCCAAGAGTCCGTTTATGCACCTTTCTATTATTGCATGTGTGCCTATTGCTTTGGTCTAGTCTTCGATCGAACATAGATAGCATTTTTGAAATGTCCGTGAGACAGCTCATCAGTTTTCTAGGAAGATTTTCATCTGTTAAGATGCATTATTGAGCCATACTATCGGACGCACCGCTTGTAGTAATACCCCCATCTACTTTTGTGTTTCAAAACTTCCGTTTTACTAATGTGTCCGCTTAGGGATGACAACAAAAATTTACGTATACCATTCAATTGATTCGGCTGGGTATCATCTTGGGGTTGCGCCCCATGCAGATGCTAATTCTATGGGCGGTGTTGTGCTTGTGTGAGTAGTGAGAACGAGTAAAAATGTATGCCTGATTGTAAGCAGCCATTTCTTTCGGGAAGAAGCCCCACAGGCGTAACCTTGCCCCGATATTGGCCCCGATATTGGCCCCGACCTGTGCAAAAGTGAGCCGAGGTGAGTTGCGATTCCCACATCAGCAGGAGCGAATGCGACGCAGCGAAATGAACCTCGGACCCCCAAATTGTAGGAGCCGTAAAGCGACGCATCGAGGTGAGGCTAGATGAGGAGACGGTGAGTAACAAAAGTAGTAAGAAGGCGTCCGCGTGAGCATCAGGGCACACGTGAGGGCATCTGTCAGTGCGGGCCCATCTGCATCAGTGCAGGCATCTGGGTACATGCGGGCATCTGCATCAGTGCAAGCGTCCGCGTCCGCGAAAGCGCGGGAATCCACATGAGCACAGCAGTAAGTGTTAGCAAGAATGGTACTCTCACTCTCCACTGGCGCAAGGTGTCATGGTAACTGGGTAGAACTTATCAGGTTGAGACCTGACGAGGGTTCACAACGGTGAACTTCTTACACGAGTAAGCTTCAGAGAGCAGTGCTATAGCACCTCTAAGTGCTCTCTGCTCATGGCCGGCTTCCCCGCCAGACTCGCCTTCATCGCATACAGATGCACAACATCCCCTCTTCCGGTCCCTAGGATGAAGAGCCCCATTCCAAATATTTGGGCGATTGACTTGGTAAGACAGACTCGGATAATGATGGAGATCCCGAGGGCTGAGGTTCTACAAGTTGGCTGCGGGAAAGGCACTTCCACGTCACTAACATAGTATTGTATCTTACAAGGTGGTTCCTGGACCTCAAGGCAGAGGTAAGTTGAGGATCTTGTCGAAGAGAGACAAAGAATTTGTAGATTCATGGTGCAGCAGTGCTCGATGATTGATGCGGTGCAGAGCTGAAGCGCTGACCGCTGATCAGTCTGATCAACAAGAACTTGTGAGTGGGACTTTCATTCGTCCCAGGTGGCATTGAAGTTTGAACTAAGTGAGCAACCGTGAGAAAACAAACACTTTTGAAATTCCCGCGCACCGAGAAATGTACGATCAGCGCCTATATAGCTATACTGAATATGAATATTGATATATTGATAGCCCTATGACGATCATAGAGCCGTCCTGCAGCCCATCATATATTCTCTTACGCTCAACACCCTGCATTGGTTACACCGTTACAGCAAGCAGCCGCCTATCGGAAGGTGTCTTTCTTTGTCCTGATGATCCCCTGTCCTCAGATATTCGTCTTCCCACTGATTCTTGGCAGGTTCCGGCCGTGGTATCTCACCTGGCAAAATTCAAACTAATTTCTCCCAAATTAATTGGCAACACGGCAGCATTTTGCCAACAACTTCAAGTTGAACGCTTGCGACATACGTCGTTGGTATGTCTGGTAGCAAAGCGTCATGACTTGCAGGTACGTTCTCGCTTGGTCATTGCTTTTTAGCACCAATCCTTGAGGGCACTGGCAGTGGATTATCGCATAGATTGGTACAAAGTGTATCGTAAAAAAAAAGTCATGTTCTTCATCGAGCTACGTCAAGTTCTCATGTGGGTCACCAGCCTTCAATTCAAATTAAGTCGTTCCTGCAGTTGTAGATTCTTGTTGTGGCTCTCCACCAAGGAAGAAAACATAGCATCAGTACAGACTCTATCCTTAAGACATAGAGACAGCCACTCCTTCACTTTCGCCTGCTTGTCTCATCTCGATTAGAAATGAGAAAGGCTTTGATTTCTAGCAGGTTGTCAAAATATCATTATATCTTTCTTAGCTGTCCTGACTTCTGACTTCTATTTTATCTGCGCAGGTTCTCATACGTCGCTGAAGCCTACCGCAGGCTCATTTTTTTCACCCATCCTGTGCAAAATTGTGATGGTTTTCCCAGCTCGGGATGGTCAGTCTCCATACAGACGCTTGCTAACCGACGTGGGGATCATCATACTGTTGTGGGTGAACTTTGCTTTGGCTCTTTCATTCTATGGCGATGTGGCTGACTGTCAATATATGCTCTGCATACTCACTTGGTGCATACGTTGTCTTTTAATGCGGCGTCTTTCTGACTTGCTTCTCATCTAGTTCTACCCGTAGACAGGACTTCTCCACTGTCTTCGAGTTCATTTGCACATTGCGTGTCATGACAGATACAAAACATGCGACGATAATAGGTAAGCGAACAGTTTTATGATCGTTATAACAAAGTCTGTGTTATTGTCAGGTAACTTATCCAGATTTCGAGTCCCACACTGTTTAACTGCGTACATAAGTATTTTCTCTCAGTGAATTACATGGGTAAAACTCTTGTACCCTCAACGTATTTTTTTTAGGGCTGACCTTGTCAGTTACGACTTCTTTTGTCTACTGTGGTCCATGGTCGGTCGTCACCGTCATCACTATGACTGGTGATCTCACTTCGTTCATTCTCTGTTTGAAAGGTAACGTGCTCCGTCGTCCTTTCAGCAAGGATGTTAACTTCTAGTTCAACACTAGTTACAGCGTCTGACACTGATATGTTCCCCTGCTCGACTCTAAAGTCGGCGGCAGGGCTACTCGAGCGGGCGGACTAATGTTTCTGGTTACTGAAGACCGCCCCACCGCAGTCAAAACGAAGTCGAGAGAGTCGGGAAGCGTAGTCGTGAGACTGGGCCTCTAGTAGGTTAACAATGAGACTTCCGAACGTATCACTTATTTGGAAGTTCTTGACACTTGCGAGCGTCGACAACAAGCTAGCTCTTGCGTGGGTGCGTGAACACAGATTATAATGAACGGTTGGTCATCATGGGGTTTTAGGTGTATCACTGTCGGGTAGCATGGTAGGCCGGCCAGTTGATGAGGTGACAAAGAGCTCATTTAAAAGAGAAGGAAAGGCTGTGCAAAGGGAAGAGGTGACGGCATGTTGAGGTCTAGTGGACTTAAGATAGCAGCACAAAGTAGTGTACCTCGCGCAAGTAACCAAATACCAGCGCAGTAGTTAGATTTTGGAAAATTCTAAGGAGACTTTACAACAACGAGTAAGCATGGAATACTAAGTAGAGTGCCCGTGATAATTTCAACGGAAAATACTGAAACTTACAAAACGGTCATGCCAGTCACATCTAGGCAGCGACGGCGACATCACCGTCGTCCGGATCTCCCCTCTTTGCAGCGACGGCGACATCACCGTCATCCGGGTCCCCCCTCTTCGCAGCCACGGCGACATCACCGTCATCTGGGTCCCCCCTCTTCGCAGCCACGGCGACATCACCGTCGTCCGGGTCACCCCTCTTTGCAGCCTTGGCGTAGTCACCGTCATCGCCATCGCCCCTCTTTGCAGCTACAGCGACATCACCGTCGTCCGGGTCCCCCCTCTTAGCGGCGACGGCGACATCACCATCGTCCGGGTCCCCCCTCTTTGCAGCTACGGCGACATCACCGTCGTCCGGGTCCCCCCTCTTAGCAGCCTTGGCGTAGTCACCGTCATCGCCATCGCCCCTCTTTGCAGCGACGGCGACATCACCGTCATCCGGGTCCCCCCTCTTAGCGGCGACGGCGACATCACCATCGTCCGGGTCCCCCCTCTTTGCAGCTACGGCGACATCACCGTCGTCCGGGTCCCCTCTCTTAGCAGCCTTGGCGTAGTCACCGTCATCGCCATCGCCCCTCTTTGCAGCTACGGCGACATCACCGTCGTCCGGGTCCCCCCTCTTAGCGGCGACAGCGACATCACCATCGTCCGGGTCCCCCCTCTTAGCAGCGACGGCGACATCACCGTTGTCCGGATCCCCCCTCTTAGCAGCGACGGCGACATCACCGTCGTCCGGGTCCCCCCTCTTGGCGTATTCTGACTCGGGCTCGCGCTTCTTTACTGCAAAAGGGTTAATCTATAAACGAGTAGATACCATATCAGTGTGTCCCACCTCCAATATCGCTGCCTCCACCGTAGCTAGAATATCTCACGAAGTTGGTCTCGCGCTTTACTGCAAAAGGGTTGATCCATAAATGAGTAGATGGCAGATGAGTGTGTCCCACCTGCAGGAACGTCTCCGGCATATCTAACGAGATTGGTCTCGAGGGCTCCTCGCTTGGCTGAGTGATATATTGTGGCATCTGAGTGGATATGATAATGCTGATGATCATGAATACTCACCATAACGTCTCACTGGCGCGGGTGACGCCACAGCAAGGATGGCGAGAGATATAAGCGCAATAAAGCGTGCAGAGAGTTGCATGTTCAGGGATAGTAAGAGAAGTGACTACTTCGTCGATACACCACTGAAAATACAAGAGGGCTTTTATACAGCTTAGCGCTCGGCCTCTTCCCTGAACAACCGCGACCTTCTTAGGTCGGATTTTCGATATCTTCAAGATATGGTACGCCACGATACAGCGTGCTATATCTGGTATGGAACTAAGACCTGGCGACAAATAAAGAGTTCGATAAATCAGCCGTGACAAATTGCATGGTAATTGTTCGACGTACTGATACGAGTGAGCCCTGCACAAAAGCTTCATCGTCATGATTTACGGTACATTCAGAGTTGGCCAGCGTTTGATGGCGTGCTAGGATCTTCCACGTTAATTACGCATGAATGAAAATTAAAATGACTAACATTATCGAGCTTATCATTTCAAAGATCGTCCTTTCCTTTGCCCTTATTTTCGAATGACAATTAAATTGTTATTGAAAAAGTTCCCTGACGTTAAGCAAGCGAAATTGTGAAGTGCTTTCTGTACCAGAGCGCGACAGTTTAAGGCGTGGCCTGTACGCGAGATCTGTCGATCTGCTCGTAGTTCACTGGAGCTGAGCAGGACCATCAGTAATATAAGAAATCACGTGCATCAAGACGTTAGAATCCACATACTATAAAAGTTAGAAAGCGTACTTTGGGTCTGCCTTATGAAGAACCAGCCTTTCATCTCTGCCTGAGAATCATCGCACGCTGCTGTGAGAATCTGCTCTGGTATCACCCAATGCGAGAGTACATCCCGTTATAGCTGCTGAGTACTCTGCGACCGTCCTGATAAGATAATTGCATCGTAGAACGTCCGTCGCGCGAGAATGCCACCACATCGGAGGGCTAATATCGAGCAGCTTTTGTGCCTTCCACAAGTAAACCGTTGTGTGGTCCCTGGATACCAATGCTAGCAGGGCGCAAACTGGGTTCAAAATAAATTCGTGATATCGGTCTGGACTTCGTCATCCTGTTTCTACGTGGAGATATCCCAAGAGCAGAAGACGTGATTGATACCTGCCGAGGAGTGCGCAGAGATAGGCATTGTCGATTCGGAGGTCCATCATGATATGGGCGATGAGTTCTATTCAACCAGTCTTCTCTAATCAGACCATATAGAAGGTAGCCGTTCTTCTTAGCTCTTATCCAATCAAGCTGAAAATCGGTGTGGCCACTGGCCATTTAAACGAGCAAGGCGCTTGGGGTCCGTTTGGTCCCATATTTGAATATCTTTATCAGTAGCATTGATGCCGAGTGGACGCAATGGATTTGAGGCGCACGCGAGAGATGATCGCCTTTCCGCTGGTGCTAGTGTCCCATAATATGATTGTACGGTTCTATGACCCACTGCCCAGGACTCGGACTCCTGTCGCCGTCTGATCAGCGGAACTATCCAATTCATCCACAACATCGGTGTGAGACGACCTAAAAGACTTGCGACGACCATTCCACTCTTAGCATCGCATACCAAAAACGCTCTCGCCAGCATTGACTGCCAGCATGTTGGAGTGGGCTATGTTGATTCTCAAACGAATGCTGCTCGAGACTCGAGAAAGGATGGATTCAACTCTAAACATGGCAACGTGCGTGGCTCTGATCTCTACCGGCAAACTCCGCGCCACCCTGGGCCTAGGCTACTCCAATTAGACTGAGTCGACCAGTCTGAGAACATCCCTAAAACCGCCCCTCCGGCGCAGAAAATCCGGCACGCACTACGGCAAGAACGGCGGCAAAGCTGGTGGCTAACGGACGGCACGTCGGACATTGAAATACACTTGAAGGCCCGTTCTACCCCAGCTGCTACCAGCGACTGATATACCTCCTGCTCACCAGTGCACCACTTGCTGGGCAGGAACTTGGACATCCTTCCGACGACACATCTTAACAATCTATCTCACATTTTTCAACTAACTATCTACATGACGATACCATGTTGCTTGTATTCTTCAGTCACGCCGCCCACCATATCCAAAGCCCTAGCTAGTCATGAGTTACTGGCGACCCTCTCCTTTGAAGATGTCCTTGCATTCACTTCACGTGCATCAGCTCTCAAGCGCGATATTATGCTCCCACAACTTCAGACGATCCCAGACAACGTCCCACCCGACATCCTACCACCTTCGATCTGCGAGTTCCTGCAACTGTCTACTGGCTTAACCAGGGATACTGTCCTAGCATGTTGGCATGCATTCAAAGAGATCATATGGGGCATGCCTAGCAGTGATGAGTTGGCTGCAGAGCACGAGCGAGCATTTCGCGAGCATGGACAACGACTTGGTTTAAGTGAGTCTTTGTATTCTGCCCAACCGTCAAATATCTGAGATGATATAGCATCTATCTCACTCTATCCTCCACATACGCACTGTACACAATCCAACTGCTTCACTGCCCAGTCACGAGCGCCACTCAAAAAGGCTGAATCCCGTCAGGTCGTGCTTCACACACTCCATGGTGTCATCCCCGCATGGTCGGTTCATCTCATCTGTCGTACTTGCAACACTGTATACGAGAACAACTTTTGCATCGCTGAACGTAGACGATGGTACTATGGTGGGGTCCCAGACTACATCCAGGTGGCTGACCACCATTTTGTCGACCGGCGTGTTGCCAACCTTTGGGTGGAGCTCCACCTAAAGGGCCAGTAAGTATTTGCTTTGCTCAACTATACCTCACTCACTCACTCGATCATCTACTAGTGTATCTGCACAGGCATGTGCAAACATTTATGACAGCGCTTTGTCAATGAGGGAGGAGAATAAGCTTGAGGATGCGGGCTGGCAGTTTGGATTCAAGCTGAAAAATGAACACATCTGGGATGCGTTCATCGTTCTTGCGCTTACTGAGGACTGTGCTCGGCGTGGAGTCATACTTGATGTACCGAACGATGGTACCAAAACGCACTGATTCTCTGCAGCTATGCAAGTCCGCAATGAGCGCATCATCTGTGAGGGGCAGCCAGAACTACGACACTACTGCGACACCTGCATGCGGACTTACTGGAATGATGATGGTAGTGCACGGAAAGTGCAGGTCGTTGTTACAGATGGCTTGTCTATGGGCCGCCCATGCTGCAATGTGTTTCGATGCCGCAACCCACTTACCAACAATCGGTCACGATTCTGCTGGCAACATGTCGATGAAGGTCTTAACAAGGTCTGTGCCGTAGTTGACTGTGATATGTCTGTATCACCGGGATCGAAGGCATGCACACTCCCAGCACATCAGGACATGGAGCACCTTCATGACGAGAGAATGCGTGCCAACTTTCAAGCTACCAAGTGCCTCCAGAAGATGCATGCTGCACAACCGAACGATGCTATGGTCGCACAACAGCTGTCAGACGCACTTGATCTGGAGTTCAAGGATGAGTGGTATGCATTGGATCCGACAACTCAAGCCTTGAAGCTCTTTACCATTAACAACCCATCCTCGACTGGCGAACTTGACAGTACTGTCATCCAGAGTCAAGAAGGCTGTGATGGCAAATCCGAGCTTGGCAATCGCAAGCTCAGAGCCAAGTTTGGTCGTTCTCGGACACACAATGAGCAGATTGTCATTCGTCCATGTGGGATAATTGTAGCCCGTGCCACCATGGTCGCAGCCGAGGCTATCTCCAATGTCCTTGTAAGTCAAATTGTTTCGCTCATGGCAGATACATGAATTCACTCGTCCTACAGCATATGGTCAAGACTACATTTTCTCTCCCTGGTGCCCAGAAGCCTGAGCACATCATGTACGATAGCAATTGTAACGCCCTTCGTGAAGTCCAGAGTCGCAACGACACTTGGTTCGACAATGTCGGCATGTGTGTCGATGCATTCCATTTTCGAACCAAACACAAAGAGGGTGATGAATTCTGCCAGACGCGATGCAATCCTGCACATTATCCAGAGCTTCTCAATGCTGACGGCTCGTGGTTTTTCAACTCCTCCATTGCAGAACAGGCAAATGTTTGGTTAGGCGGTTATCATAACATCGTGTGCGAGATGCTCCCTGACAAGTATGATTTTTTTCTGGATGAGATGGTGATGCATCGCAACCGTGCGCTCATCAAGACCATGGAGAATCGCGGTCAATTTCCTTGGTATTCCCCTGCAGATGCGTAGATCTATGTATCACACCCTTGATTTGTATCATGCCCTTGATTTGTGACGATGTATATGTTCATGAATGCAATAGTATTTCCAGACTCCGACCAAAATGAAAATGGATTGCATGTCTGAGACTCTTTCCTTGATTTCGCAACCTCTTTCTTGACTTTGACATTCTTGCCCGCTGTTCCAGGTACGCCCATTCATTCCTATTAATCTGGTGAGACTCGCTCCCTTGTTGTGTTATAAAAGCAGTTGATGATTTCAATCACAATAACAGCATGTACCTACCAATCATTTCTCTGCTCCGATGTTCAGCTTTTCAACCACTTGCATCCCTCATCATGTCTGTCGTACCACTAAACTCTCCATTCATCAAGCATGGCCTCTACTACCCAAGACGCCATTCCTCGCAGCCGCCTGAACTTGAAGCTCTCGAACATGAGCTTGCAATTGCAGCTGAGAACACGGTCACAGCAATCGGCTGGTCTGTGGTGCGTGACAGTCATAAAGTAATGGATACGGTGCTTAGCTTTTTGTTAGGATGGAGAGCTGCCAGTCGTCTGCGAGCTTCAGACTGGATTTGTCTTGCCACGCATTAGAGTCACTGCAGACTGGCTTCGTAGCCTCGGGCTTGCAGATGATAGCTGCTACTACTACAATACCATGCATGAATGCTGGAGAAAGATCATCGCAGGTCATGTCCTCACCCTGACTCAGCCCTACATCTACCTCAAGAACCTCAATGTGAAAGTGGCATTCAACTTTGATAACTATGTTCAACAACGGTCACAAAAGAGAAGGCTCGCCCTACCTCGTTATCCTCGCCGCCGGCAACGCATCAAGCGAGAGTCTCTGGACGTGATCAGCATTTCGTCAGACTCAGATACAAGTGACAGCGAGACGAGCTCTTGAGGCTTATCATATGACCATCCCATTGAGGTGGAGTTAGAGGTGGGGTCTTTGGACATGGCGGCTGGCACTGAAAACATAACTACCTAGGCGGTCTTTACAGAATTCATTTGATGACCTTACATTACACTTTCCGGTATTTTACCTTACCTTCTCGTTTTACTATCTTATAGTCTCGTAAATGTATGCACCAGAATTGAAAGGAGCTCCCTTTCGTACCACGAGCTTTGCATTGGTCCGAGACCACTGTCAGCATGCGGACCTGGACTGTGGACCGAATAAAGGGAGGGCAGGATCAACAAGCGGTCGTACGCCAAACAAAGCCTGTTCCATATAAAATGCTGTCTTGTCGTAGTACAGTGCCACAATCTTCACTAAACGTCTGAAAGCGCCGACTTGCACTGATACTGACGGATTCTGAGTAGCTTCGCAGATGACCTGCATGATGTAGTTTCGCTCTCCCTGATGCGCGTCAGTAAAGCAAACGCCAGAGATTGAAAAAAAAAGTACTTCTCGGTCGAAATTGTCCCGTACAAACTCCAGGGAATTGAATAGCGCATGGACGGCAGCAAGCTGTACTTCCGACGATGGCTCCTCCTTGTGAGCGCCATGAATTACAGCCGTCAAAATCTCATTCGACCTCAATGCCAAGACTTCCGGTTTCTGTGGCGCGAGATGAGGACAAAGTGGTTGAGTGGCACAAGGTAAACGTACTATAGTTTCACAGATGTAACCAATAGCTTGCAAAGTGGCGATCTTCAAGTTTGTGTCATCAGACGTGTTGAAATCTGGCCATTGGCCGACGGGTAACTCTACGGCTGCAATCGCAGAAACAACTTTGACGTGTTGTAGCATCTTTCAAGGGCAGATATTAGCTTAGAATGAACGGTCATGAAAATTGAAAAGTAACCTACCTGGAGATAGGGTATTAGCAAGGAGTGCGCTGGCGTTGGTGACATGGCCAGTGCGAGCTCCACCTATTTACACTGTTCGCCACCCGGTACACCAAAGGCAGTTACTGAGTGAGGAGGGTAGAGCTACAAGCACCATCTGTTAACCATGACAGTAGATGCTAAGAAATGAATATCAGTGACAGCAGTAGGAGACCCGCTTTCAGCATTTATCCCTGGGCGTTGGTGTTAGCCTCTTGACTACTACACATTGACATCCCGGGGTACTGAAGAACTGCAGTGACCTAAAGAAAAAGAGAGCATAGCCTGATGCCTCATTTTCTCACTCTCAGACTGTGAGAACGAATTTCCTCAAAGTGCTACTATTACAGTCGACTCTCGATCATCGATCATCATCTGACTCGTTCTGCCAGAATATCGATCTCGGGCACCTTGAACGTATGCGCTCGAATCTGCCAATGCTATATTACTTGGATTCACTGCGAGCAATTGTATTGTCAGTCATGTCTTTTTTGTGTGAGTATTTGGTATTGAAACTTAATTGCTCCGTCAAGGTTTTTGCCAGCAAGTATGTATTTTGGATCTTGATGAAACGACTCGACTGATGTGATATAGCATCTTAGTTGCTGCTGGTCGACCCGCAAGTCGCTGGAATGAGCGTGGAATTGCACTTGGAGGTGTGTCTTCTACCCAACTGGCATGTCGCGGTCATTCCATGGCCTCTAGTCATATTCTCCGTAACTCTTCTACATGGATTGATCCCTAAGACCGGCGTACTGATCATGAATGTATGCAAAGCTTCGTTTTTATACTGTCATCATATCTAACATCTTCTTTTCAGTTGCTCTCGATGTTCAAGATCATAATTCTGGTGTTCGTTGTGCCCTCCTCCGCCTTTGCGATCACAAATCCAGGACCTCTCACTATCTCTGGCGTCACTGTCAATGATTGTGCGTAGTTGCATGTTATCAGTGGTGTATCTCATTTTGACGTCAAGAACAGTGCAGGGTAACTATCCCAACTCGCGAAGTGGAAACACCGCTGCTGGTAAGTGATGTGTTCATCTATCGGCAAGCACACAACACCGACGGCTTTGATATTAGCGGTAGTGATATACTCATTCAGAATTGGTTCGTCTATCCTCTAGTTACTCGACCGACTCAGACACTTACGAGCATTCAGCACTGTCCTCAATCAGGTCCGTCTGATGATTGAGCTTCCACGTTCCTTTGCCTATAAGGCATTTCTTTTTGCAGGACGATTGTTTAGCTATCAACGGGGGAACAAATATCACATTTGCCGACAACTACTGTGAATACGGTCACGGTATCTCCATTGTGAGCCACTTCATCAATTTTGTGAACCCAATCATAGAGATATTTGTCGTCTAGGGCTCCATCTCGTCAAATGCCGTCGTCTCCGATATCGAGATTATCGGAAACCATGTTGTTAGCAGGTGACTACGGCACAAGGCTGAATTAGAGTTGTACTGACACGAGTAGCGCATACTCCTTCCGTATCAAGACCGATGCATCTACGACAAACAGTATAGTGAAGAATGTTACATATAGCGTGAGTGATTTTGATGATGATGATTGTGGACTGAATTTTTTGTAGGACAATACTGCAACCAACTGTACCGGTTTGGCGTTCTGATAACTCAGGTACGTGTTTTACCACGCTCTCCTGTCGTCAATCATATCACATATCTACAGAGCTATCCCACTAACCTGGGTACCCCGGGCAACGGGGTCATCATCTCTCCTGCTGATTTGTCACTTGCTGTAGAGAACTTCAGACTAGCATCAGGCCATGCCGCACAAGGCTTTCCGCGACGTATCAAGATAGTTTGGTACTGGGTTGCTGCAGCGGAGGAACACAGCCATGCATCTGGACTCGAGGCCTACACAACATTTTTCAACCTTTTTGACGGTCACTTGGCATGGTTTTGATAATCTACGTGTTCAGATGACCGTGACCATCAGGATCGCCCTGTTTCCATATGTTAGGTATATCTACGTGTTCAACTCGGACTCAACGCCTTGAATGGTGCACATCACGACGAAGCCGCTGACTGTCTCGGGTACATCATGATTGATTGCAGAAATAACAAAGATGAAATGACATAAAGGTATATGATACAGACACAGAATTATTGGACAGATAATTATGATACTACGACGAGGAGAATGAAAACATAATTACTTCAGGGGAACTTGGGCAGCCAGCTTACTCCAACGGCCAGCATTAGTGCGTCCAGCAGCCTCGGCACCTTCGAGTAGACCTTCCTCAGATGCACGGAGCCAGCGTTTTTTCGCATCGTGGTAGGTGGAAGCTGTGAATGGCGCATGAAAAACTGCATGAAAGCAATCTTCCAGACGTCGGTACTGTTGCTTCATCTCCAAACTTTCAATCTGCTGAAAGCCTTCAGACATGTCAATAGTGTACATGGATGTTGGCCACCGCGTGGAAGTCGATGCTTGTTTGTTGGGGCGTCCGACACTGGCAGTACTTGGGACCTGTAATGGAGTACTATGTTGGGCTTGGTTTGACGAAAAGGCAAGACGTGGAGCCTTGGATGGCGAAGGAGAATTGAAGTCCTCGTCGTCAGTATCGTGATGATTGAACCTCTTTCGTCGGGCTAGTGACGTGATGCTAGAACTAAAGTCCGAATCGGAATCGTTAGATGGTGTTTGCCTTGGAGTAAAGCTCAGGCCAGAGGTGGTTGGCGAGGGAACAGATGAGTGCCAGTGAGCTGGCGCTTGAGAATCCGATGAGGTGCCAAGACTCATGTCAATATCGGACCCGTCGTCAGTGCTACCATGATGATAGTGCCTCCCTGGCCTTGATGTCCGTGAAGGAGAGTCTTTGGCGACACTGAGTCCTAGTTTCTTCCTCGTTTCGCGCACAGCCCGTCGCTCAGAAGTGAGGTTTCGGAGGTTGTTATGCCCAGTTGGCTGAACATAGTCCTGCAAGAAGTCTTGGAACCCTTTGCAGTCGATTCCTCGTCTGCGAATAAACAGCTGGCTATCAGTTGCAACTTCCAGAGGGCGGTTTAAATCATCTTGAATCCAGTGTCGAAGCTTCAGATCATAATAGTCAACTGGTCCAAGGTGCGCACTGAGAGCTTGTAGGGTGTCCGGATATTCAGCGAGTGAGCATACAGCAGAGTGCTTGTAGACTGTGACTGAAACGGGATCAATGCCGTTCTAGATGAGAGTGTGAGCAACCTTCAAGAATGACGACAGAAGACACACCTGGTCCCAATAGTTGACAAGGAAGCGACCCTTGAGACGTTGTTCATGAGCCTTCTTGGCTTCAGCACGCTGCTGAAAGTCAGTCTTCAGGATCTCGCGCCTGGTATGAGTCGTTAGCCAAGAGTCATTGAGCTGTGTTGACAGCCTAGGTTCCAGGGTCCTCCCAGTTTCAGAGTTCATGCTGCCAGGTGCTGCTCGAGTTTTCCCCTTCTTGGGCTTTGGTGTCATAGTCTGTGCTTGAACTGGAGGTGGAGGCTGCAGGTCGGCGATAGATTGAGCGAGCGCTGCTTGCAGGTCTCGTTCATCACGATCAACATCAGACAGGTAGTGATATCCGTCCTGGCTACTTGAAGAGTCTGCAGGAGCCGTGTGGGACAAGAATTCGTCAAGGATGGAATCCAACTCAGATGGAGAGTAGGCTGTTTGAGATGGCGTAGGTGGTGGATGCGCGGATGTAGACGTTGATGTGGCTGACCAGGATGGTGGTGGATGCATGGATGTAGAGGAGTTGGATGAGGTTGACCAGGATGGGAGCGGCAGCAGATGTGCAGATGGCAGTGCTTGGGATGGTGGAGGTGGTGGATGTGCAGAAGGGACTTGTGTGGATGGGAAGCCATGGGAGATGCAGCCGCCAGTGGAAATACAGTGCGATTTGCACATGCGGTTGGTACATGCAGCTTTTATTGTTTTGATTGCACAGAAAGGCGAGAGGCAGCCTTTCGGTTTCACAAGAGCATGTCCAACGACTCCAACCACGACCTCTGAGCCTTGAGTGAGTGGTGGTGAGCGCTCTTCATGGACCCAGTGAGGAGGGATCCACCAGTACTTGTCACTGTGAACCGTTGGATTGATACACTGCCAAACGAACATCAATGAACCACGAGTCAGCTGCTAGAGTGTAAGGGGGAACTTACCAGTAGGTATGCCTTCCCATCATTAATACCGCCCTGCTTGAACTTTGCAGGAAGATGTTTTCCGCACCCAGGCTTCGGACAATGACTGTTGGAAGGTGGTAGGTGTGATGCTGGGTCCATGCCAGATGGGCGTGCACTGTATGTGCTGATAAGATTAGCAGTGTAGTACGTACGGTGACGTACCTAGGTGATTTAAAAGTCAGCCAAAGTCCGCCACCTGGCCGTGTTTTTGCCGCCGGACTGCGGATATATCCGCCGTAGTGCCGTACTACGCGCCACACTGTTTTGCGCCGGAGGGGCGGTTTCAGTGACCTTCTGACCAGTCTTGTCCACATTGATGACTCCGAGTCTAATCGACGGCTTGCCTCACAACTCCCGCCCATTATCAACGTTCGGTATACATTGTGGAAATGGTCGTGATCTTGGATTCGGCACGATTCTCAACTTCCAGACTAAGATGGTTTCCACATCAATAATATCTTGGTCATCTACTCGATCCAGGTGTTCATGGTCACTCGTGAGTCCTGATGTGTTGCATATTTGATCTGCGTTCCTAACAAATTGTAGTGCTCTTCATCGGCACTTTGAACAAGCAGCTCGCCATCTGTCAAGTTGATGCGCAGGGCAATGTGCTTGATGGTCAGCAGGGTTCTGGATGCTACAACCTCATTCCAGTCTTCGAATGGATCAAGTGCTGCATCGTGTCCATTTTCTTGGTGTTCTTCGCTGCTTTCCTGCCTCTCTTCTTGCAAGGCAATTCATTAGCATTTTACTTTGGGCTTGGCTTTACTGACTGACAACAGAACTTGTTGAGCGTGAAACTGGAAAAGCGCTACTGCGTCTCGGAAAACACTTCTTATCATTGTCGCCCGTCTTTGAGGTTTTCTCGACACAGTTATACTCTCAAGGTATCTTGAGCAATCTGACATTCGGTGGTGCTCGCTATATCGCAACCGGCCGCGGTTTTGCGACGACCCGAATATCCTTTAGCATTTTGTATTCTTGCTTTGCAGGACCAGGTATCTACATGGGCATGAGGAATCTGCTGATCCTTCTCTATGTTTCTCTGACGATTTGGATACCCCACCTCATTTACTTCCGGTTCTCCGTGCTCTCGTTGTGCATTGCTCCCTTTGTTTCCAACCCTCATCAGTTCTCATTTACCGACTTCATCATCGACTATCGCGAGTTCCTGCGTTGGATGTCCTGAGGTCACTCGAGGACGAAAGCGAGTAGTTGGTATGGACACTGTCGTCTTTCTAGGACTATGATCACCGGGTACAAAAAGAAGAAGCTGGGCTTTCCATCAGAAAAGCTGTCTGGAGACTTGCCCCGTGCCTCATGGCGAGCTGTTGTCTTCCCGGAGGTCGTGTGGCCGATCTGCCATGCGGCCATCTTTGTCATCGCATACATGTTTGTCAAGTCGTTCCCAAACGTCAATGGCCAGCAGAACTCCAGTCCCTTGATTCGCATAGCTGTTATTGCGATTGGTCCTATCGTCTGGAATGCTGCTGTTCTCATATCGCTATTTTTTATATCGCTGTTCGTGGGTCCCATGTTCGACAAATGGGCGAGGTTTGCTTCGGTCATGGCTGCCGTCGCTCACCTTTTCGTGCTGCTTGGAATCGTCTCATTCTTCGAGTTCTTCGTAAGTAATTTAATCTACGCTCTGATGACACTGAACTGACGTGTGTCGTAGTGGTTCCTCGAGCTTTGGGATGCATCTCATGCAGTACTCAGGGTAATCACTATCGTTGCAGCATGCGATCCAGAAATTTCTCATTGCAATCTTCCTGTCTCGTGAGTTCAAACACGACGAAACCAATCGTGCGTGGTGGTCCGGTAAATGGTACGGCCGTGGCCTCGGTAATACCGCGATGTCCCAACCAGCTTGTGAATTCATCATAAAGATCGTCGAAATGTCTTTGTGGAGCTCAGATTTCTTACTCGGCCACATCCTCCTGGTAATTTTGACCCCGCCTGTTCTCATTCCATTCATCGACAAGCTGCATTCAACTATGCTGTGTAAGTGATACCGTCGAGTTCTTTACCTTTTTGTAAATCTGAACCCCTGGCAGTCTGGCTCCGCCCATCCAAACAGATTCGAGCACCTCTTTACTCGACTAAGCAGAAGAGACAAAGACGGTGGATTGTGAATCCCCTGATTTACCTCTCCTTCATTAACTCAAGTCTTCGACAGATCATTAAATACACCCTGCTCTATATCCTCGCGGTGCCGGGCCTGGCATCTCTCATTGTTCTGCGTAAGTTCACTTCACATCATCCATTATCTGTCTTTAACATGGTTTCAGCTGCTATCTTCCGAAATGAGATCACGTTCTACTGCACTCTTTGTCAGAATATCTCATTACTGGGACACTTACGCATGGACTGGCTTGATTTGCCACCTTTATACGCTTTCGACTTCGCTTGGTGTATCATAGTAGACGATAAATCAAGCTAATCTACATGGTCATTTCGTGGATAGTCTATACTTAGGAGCTAACGAACCTGCATTCTTATCACCAGAACTTGTTTGTTCTGGCTGCGACCAGGTAGATTTTGTCTCCGAAAGCATTATTCAAAAGCATGTCGGCTGGAGTACATAATTAGGGGACACGACAATATTACTTACCGTAAATATTGGCACTTGTGACTCAGAAAGATACCATTTTACGCGTCAAGCATGAGTGCTGCATTCTTTCCGTCAAAGACATCGCATTAGGACCCCAGGTTTTCAGTGATCTTGCTTAAATCAGGTGCCTCCAAAAAGCAATGACTTCTTTCATTATAATTCAAGGTGTGATTTTTATCAAGGAAAGCAGATCATAAAGACCTTTGTGTATGAAGGAAAAAGGGAACTCGGTCCCCTTGACGTCGATAACCTATTGTAGACCACAACGAGCAAACAGTCAATCGTCTTATAATATCCAAAGCGCGAGACGTCAATGACGCATCGAACAAGCGGAAGCGATACAACCACCATAACTAGCAAAGGCCTTAACTCTGATCACCCTGGTTCGCCACCGTCACCACCTCCATAAGCACAGTCTGCCGCTCAACCGTGAGCATCGTCGTCGCTGCCTGGTATAGAGCACTGTTTTGATTCTGGAATGCTATGAAAACGGTCATTGTCAGTAGGGAACAGTATAAGATAGCAAGAACGAACGACGCACTCTGTAATGCTTCCTTGAAGGTGACGTATGGGTTGATGTTGTCGAGCGGACTGAAAAACCCTAGTTCTTCCTCGATCTCTGATTCCTCTGATATATCTGACTCGTCGTCTCCTGTTTCTGCTTTCTCAGATTTTTCTCTTAGGCGAGCACCCTAGAATATTTGTGTGAGCGGTAGGTTGCAAATACGGAATTGTGACGAACCTCCTTCGCTAGGATCTCGAGATACGCGGAATCTTCATCCCATACATCCTCTAAAAAGAGGTGTCAGGAGTCGGAACATGCAACAAAGTAATATACGCTTACCATCTTCGTCTCCCTCAAGATTGAGATATTTAGTGTCGTCCTCATCTTCATCATCGTCCCCTTCAACCAGCTGATCTTCCAACACCTTGCGCTCTACAAAACCGCACCATCAGTCAGGTTACAAGTCATACTAACGATCTGCAACCCACTCGCAACAGCCTGAGGCAGCCCCTTGAAAATATTCAAAGCGCCGCCCACAATCCCAGGCCATCCATCCCTCAATCCTTCTGGAATCGTGCCAGCCTCCATCTCCAATAACTTACACAGCGCCAAAATGCTCAGTTTCTTGTCGTGCACGCGTGGGAGCTTATTGTCGCTGTTGATTGCTGCGAACCAGCGCTCGAAAAACGTGCGTGAGAATCCTGGCTTGTAGGCCTCCATGAAATGAAGCGCCGCAGAGGCGTTGTAGAGGACGGTGTTGACCAGAATCTCGAGATTGGCAAGGCGGAATGAGGCAGTCTCGCCTTCGTCGATGTGTTCTGCAGCGATGGTGACGATATCTTGGAGTTGCTGCAGAAGCACGATGAGAAGGTGTCTTGGGTGAGAAACATGAATACGAAGACTTACATCGTCCACATGGCCGTGCAAGTTAAGAAGCATCGACTCTGCCAGCTTGCATCCGTTAATCTTGTCGTTATCACCCAGCTGTGGGCTTGTCATAGCTGTGCGGTACATATCCAACACCTTCAACCTATAGTCAGGGCGTGCTTTCAGCACATCGGTACCATACGACACGAAGTTGTCCAGCGAGGGGAGCATTTCTGTAAATTGCCACCACCATGAGTAACACAATCTAGAGATGCGTGGAAAGTAGTGGGCTGTACCATCAAGGAAATCAACAGCATCGCTCTTGAAGAGGTCATAAGTCAACTCGAACACTGGCCACATGTTCGGTGATATTGCGTGAAGACGGAAGGTAAGGGCATCTACGAGGTCATACATATTATCAAACAGATCTACAAACGCTACGATCAGTGATGCCCTTCATGCAAAAAGGAACAGACGCACCGATCAACTTATTCTCAAGGGTGAACCGGATGATGGGTATAATCACCTCCTGCACCTGCGACAGAATCTCGGGCGACGAGTCAATGCATGAAACCACCTACGCAACTTCATCAGACGCGCGTTGGATGAACATGATAGCGAGAGTACACGCACGGTTCCAATAGTTTTGGCGACCCCCATAGCGCCATATACTTTATCGTCGTCGCCATCTGACACGAGTGATTCCACATCGATGCCGTCCGGGAGTGTTTCGTTCTGCTGTGCTAGACCCTCTCTTGCAAGGCGTAAGTAAGACTCGCACTACATACATGCCGTCAGCGTATTATAGTAGTAACTAAAGGACAAGGCGCTCACCAGGCGTGCAGTGAGCTGCGAAGCCACGGGCATAAGCTCGTTTTGGAACCGGTCCACCATAGCTTCCATGCTGTGATTCAGGATATCGAGGTCCGTCTCATCGGAGAGCTTGAGGAGATCTGTAACAGCCACCATCGAGATAAATGAGTGCATCAGTGGGTTAGACACGAGACGTACCTTGCACGACCTTGCCTACTTGCGGAGAGACGGCGTCCCTGACTAAAGAACCCAAGTTAGCTTGGACACAGCACAAGAGCAATAAAAAAATTCCAACGCACCAGAATCGTGGATGACAACTAGCTCAGTGATGGCCAACGCAGCTTGCACACGTACCGGGAGTTCCTGATCATCCAGAGCCAACGCCACAGCACGGGAGTGGTTGTTCAAGTTCTATGCAGGATTGACGTTAGCACGAAAACGACACTTATAGTAGATATGCTTACCTCTTCGGTAACCCATGCGATACCGGCCTTGGTCACTACACCAAGCACCTCACATGCCTGAACCGCATCAGCTCAAGAAAGTTGATTGAGATAAATAGACATACGACACTCCGCAAGTACGGCTCCTGCGATGTGAACTCGGGCAGAACGTACTGCACCATGAACTGCTCGATGCTTCCCTTGACATCGGGATGGCGGACGATGAAGGGGCCAAGGACTGACATCATCGTAAGGGCGCCGAAGCGCTGAGCCGGCGTGGGATTGCTATATCGTATTCTTGTGAGTTGATGGATGTAGTAGATGTAACAGGGACGCACGAGCGCAATACCGTGTTAATGAATTGGAGCATCGGGAGGAAGGACGTTTTTGTGCGGTTGCTTGCGAGGGAGAGAAGGAACGAGGTGGCGCCACTTACGGGGGACGAGAAGTTCTCGTACTCGTCTTTGGCATGTGAGACACTGACACGGGTAACAGGAGAGAGAGATCAGGTAAACTCACCGACACTAGCACGGACGTATTCTACGGGATCTGCCTCCCACATAGCTTGTTTGGATGCATTGAAAGTGAGCTGGGGGAATGCAAAGTTAGCCACGAGGTTGTCGACATGGGGCTTCAGGAGTATCCACGTCGACTTCGGCTTGATACTGTGGATAAACGCCATCAGCATAATCCGATGGATTGAAGGTTGATGCGAACCATTCAGTGAAAAACTGGAAGATTTGGTATTGGCATTTCTTGCCCAACCACGCCTGTCCTGAAACATATAGCTCGACTTGGTGGAGGTACACCTTGAAGATTTCGGGAGCGAAGGCAGTCACGAAGTTCTGTGCAAATACGCCATACTCCTTCTGCATCGGTGATGGGAGCTGAGAGGGATTGCCGAAGCTACAGTGCTCTTAGAGACGCATAGAACATTCGAAGAAAATACACACCGATGAAACAGTCGACCAAGGATTCCATACGCCCATTTCTTGGCTTTCCACCATTCACATCTCTCCCGATCTTCCTCGTTAGTTGGAACGCCTTCCACGGGGACAATCATCTCTACGACGCGGAACAAGAGTCTCCCCCAGGGAACGAGTGATTCTTGGCTCTGCTGGTGTGGTGAAAGGTTGACAATAATTGCAGTTTTGTACGTCTTGAGAATGAGGTGCAGCATGGCAGGGATCTCCTGGGACGCAGGTTGGGATGGGGAGGTATTGAGCATGCCATCAGCGATAGTGACGAGCGTAGGGAAGAGTGTGGTAATAATGCCTGGCAGGACGTCGGCTTTCTGGCGGAATCTACGCGTTTATTAGAGAAATCTGAAGGATAACACAATGAAATACATACCTGAACGCTCTAACGCATTCGAGGGCGGCTACGACACCCGCTCCTACTTCTCTCACGTCCCCGCTTCCCAAGAGCCTTTTCACGTCATCCAAAAGAGATGGCCAGCGATCGGGGAAGTCATTTGCCACAAGGTCCTTGAGGGTCGCTGCGACCTGGACGGTGACGGAACGGCTTGGACTAGCAGAAAGAAGGGGAAGAATGTTGGCTTTTAGTGCGGTGCGGTCTGATTGAGCAATTGGGACGTGGTCTGGGCGCGGATTTGGTGGAAGGATGTAGGAGGTACGGACGCGATTCTTGAGGTAAACACTACAAGCTTGGCGAGTGGCTCTGTCATAAAATTATTATAATGAGTATCGTGAAACTTAAGAGTAGACATACAATTCAACGCCGTCAGATGCGATGATCTGCAAAAGGGCAGTAAGCATGCCCTCCTGTGCACCGATCTGCAGGGGCGATTAGCGCGATGATTGCAGGTCTAATGAAACAAGACATCACCTTGCGTATTTGGAGTTCGCCGGTCTTCTGTACATTAGGATCAGGATTGTAAGTTGTCGCGAACAAATTCGCAAGTGATTGAAGATCCATCTGTGCATCATCCATGATATTGATCAGATTAGCATTTTTTTTCATGTTCAAAGATCAGCAATAAAATACAGACCTCGGGCAGGTATATTATGAAGTATGAAGAAAAAGAGACAAAGGATAAATGGTCGTGAAAGTCGTTTACAAAGGCTACACGCGAGCTTTAGTAGAAAAATTGGGATCAAACACGCGGGCAGCAACGCGTTTAGTGTTGACCTAATTGATCATGATAAGATTACATCATGTTGACATGTACTGGCACGCGCACCGAGTTTTCTCACTTGTACACCAACTGCCAGCCTATTTTCATGCAGCGAACTGCTCTAACAGGCTGGCCCTTGCGGTGATCACACAGCCAGAGCGTTCGGTTTGCAGTATCACGCTGGTGTCCTCGGATTGGCGGATAATTTCAAAGAGCCATTGATCAGCGAAGTATGTACTAGTATATTTACACATTTACGCGCTGCGTCAGTGACGGCGTGTCTGGAATCAATTAATCACTTCCTAAACTTGTGACAGTAACTGGTGATCCAACGTCGAGAGCTCCTTGGACCGGCGCCAGAGGCATTGCTGTCAGGATTTCTAGACTGAGTTCCCTGGATGACTACTGGACCACGCTCAATCAACGAGTGATATCCACATATTGTGGGACTATGTAGTACGGAATTCTTCCCTCGAGTCTTTTTCATTTCATTATGGTTACCAATCTTGTGCCTCCCGCCGCGAGTGGCGTAACGTAGCAGTGCTCCCAAATTTGACAAGTCCAATCTAGATGTTTAAAAGTGATCTGCGATGGTGCTTCTTCCTGTTGCGAGACAAACCCACGCAGCAGTTCCACGACAATGTAAGAATGGAAATGTGGTGCCGCGTAGATTCGCAGACATTGGTCAATTTTGGAATGCATCGACTCCTTAGGAAATGCAATGCGAAGCTTCGGGTCCACATTGAGAGCGATGCAGGGAAACTCCGATAAGCATTGCATGGAACCATATGATTTGCGGCGTACGCGTGATGAACGTTTTAACCTCAATTCTCGCTATTCGGAATTCTTCTCCGCCTATCATCTGCGACACACAGTCAATATCATTAGAGTTAAAGGTGGGATCATTAAAATGGATGGGAATCATCTTGTCGACAAGCAGCTGCAGGCGGCAGCGTTGCACCACGCTTGTACGATGCCATTCTCGTAAAGTTCACTCTTTGGAGTCACATCTGGCACTGTGCAGCGGTACCTAAGACATTGAATTGCTTGACAACGAATATGATCTTACCTCGACGACTTAGCATCAGTTAGCTTGGAATCTTTCGGCGAGATGAAATTTCCACGGGCACCCAGTGCGAAAAATTGACGTAGGCATGCTGAAAAGCTGTCTTGGCCTTCTCACCCGCCTTCGACCGGAACTCATAGCCAAAAAGGTATTCCAGGAAATTGACGACGAAGACTTTCTGGCAGTGTATCAGTTTCGCATCCTTGCTTCCGTTATAGCGTAGATCCGGATCGTGCCTATGACGAGATTAATGAGAGCATACACGTCCTTGGCAAGAAGCAGCAAAAGTCTGCTGGGCAGCTCTCACATTGTCCTGTTTCGACCATCCCATCATCAACCTTTGCCTTCAAAACTTCCAAAGCGTCCACCCATGGAGTAGAATCGCTGCAATGCAAGACAGAAGAGGCTCCGATGGATAACCGGTGAATGCCCACACCTATCTTCGGTCGCCGAGAAGCATATGCGCAGGTGACTAACTACTCCTTTTTCGAGTTAAGAGACAGCATTGGGGTGACCGAAGTAAATGTCGAGACCAAATCTCTGAGACAGTACGGCGAGAGCCTCGTTTATGTCTTGAGGGTTAAACATTCATTTTCGATTTGCAGAGCTTCCGGGCAGCCAGCGTCATAATCTCAGTGATGGTCTGCTTGTCCATGCATGAGGCTTTCCACCTATTCGTGGTGGTCAACGAAACTGAATATAAGGATAAAAACAAGGGGACAAACAGTGGACGACTGAAGCCGATGAATATGATGGAACTTTCCCACATCATTAGCTGATATACTAGACAGAGAATCCGCATTCTGGTCCCAACCAAGATATGTGTAAGGCTGGTATAAAAGTTGGCCGTTTATCGCTACGCGCAGAGAATCATCTGCAAAATTGTATCAAAAAAACACCACAGGTCCGATGACTGATTCGTTAAGTTATGGTCTGCCTAGCTGGTGCACCGTACTGTGTACACAAGTGGCAAACGCAACAGGGGATGAGAAGTTGTTCCACGACGTCGGCGGTCGCTGCTAACTCGTCGATAAAGAGTAGATCGTAATGTACACGGACATTCGCGATAATATTATTGGGAATCTTCCCATACACTAGGATCACGGGGAAGCCATAGAGCAGTACCTACAGCGAGAAATACAATTGCGATAAAGAAGTAGTATATCGACCACGCATCATGCCCCTCCTGCAATGAATAAGAGAAGAACGAAGCTGCAGATGCCGGGCCGATGATCCTTCCTACTGCAGCAGCTAACATGACGATTCCATTGGTTGCTCCGAGCGAGGCGCGATTGGGAGCAGCTGCTCTGATGAATGATATTATGGAGGCTACAAATTCTTCTCAGTTCAACAGAATGCAGGAAGTGCTGGATTAACATACGGGAGCACAGGACCAGGCTAGTCTTCAGCGTAAGCTGGACGACAACACACAGCCATACCGCCATGCCTATTCCATAGGCCCGAGCCAGAGCATTGGTCACTGGAAATAAAATGACGATGGGTACGCCGGAGCTAACACCGGTGATAAAGATAGCCCTTGCACCGAAGCGATCATGTAAACGAGCGTAGAAAAGCAGCTGAAATACTCCATGTATGATACCTGATGCCGCAAGTAAAACACCGATGCGAGGAGGGTCAAGGGAAAGACCACCAAGTTCAATCGGTGTCGCATAGAAAACAGGTAAGACTGAATTGAACGCCATGTGAAACAGGCCCATGGTGGTATAACTTGCTGTCACACTCAACACCTTCGAGGTTAGCAAAGCGCGCAGCGGAAGCGGCTTTGATTGGACTTCTCCAGGATTCGCAGGATCAAATATACCATTGCTCGATGGCTGGCGAGGCTTCGAGTATGATTGTCCGAAAAATCCTTTTTTGATTAGCTCCCAGAGCGGTGTTTTGCCAGTGGTAGAGACGCTCTTGTAACCACACTTAGTGTGATCCAAATATGGGTTTTCAGGTGCTCACCTCTTTAAGACATACATACGTGACTAGCCAAATTATCGATATGAAAAATGCTGAGATAGAGCATGGCAGGAGATATGGGTAGGTTTTCAGGAGTTCTGATCGCCCGAAGATGTCAGGGAATCTGTCTGCAGGTCGAGAGAGCGATCCCCCAATGAGTGGTCTAGTATATGCCGTAAATATCAGTGCGAGATAAAGTGTACCAAATGCCTACCCAACTGTGTTTCCAATCATCAACGAAACTGGTATATAACTGTATGCCTTGGGCATATTGGTTGCGTCAGTGATGTCCATCAGCATGCTCTTGACCATACTATCGCTCGGATCAAATGCTCCGCAGACAATACGACTGGTCGAGAATGTCAGGAATTGATGGTCACGGCTACTATTTGACATTTAACTGGACATGCTGACCTGACCACCAGACCAAAGAAGCTCTTCGACAGCCCAAACGAAAGCATTGAAATAACAATTGCTAATAGAGCTGTCAGTATTACAGGCTTCCGCCCGATGTGGTCGGACAGTTGACTCCAATGAAAGATGGTCAGGGTATGAGCTGCATAGTACGATGATTGCTGGAGAGTATAGTATTATGAACGAACAAAAGGGCAAAAACGATGAATGCTTACAAGGATGCCGGCATAGTGACCAACCTGGGATTCGTCTCCGTGAGTGACTCCAATGTCTCTAATGAGCTTGACAAAGTCCAGTTGTGATCAGATATAAGTCCACCGAAGGGAATATACTACTCACTTGGGGAATAAACGGGATAAGGGTCCGAGAAGAAAGAAAGTCTGGCATCTCCAAGAGCAGTAGAATCCAAAATTGATTCCAGGGAAGAGGTGTCTTGGCCGTTGGCTGCTCTGGTCGTTGCAGAAGAGATGTCTCCTCGTCATTCTGTGGCGCAATCATGGTGGTGCGAGGGAATGACGCGGATGAAAGATACAGCTAGTTATACTATGTGAAGTCATTCCAATGAGGCGGTTGCTGACCGGCTTGTTGGCTAGCTAAACGATAAGGCCCAATGGCAGTCCACAAGAACCTGCTTTTACTATCAGAATCAGTCACGCGGCACTTCCTATTATGTAGCACCCGGGTATAGCCACCACTGGCCAGGTTCGCCGCACTGTCACCTAGAGGATCTCGGGCTTATCATTGGCTGACTGACCTTCCTAGGCTAGAAGGTCAGCGCCCACGCAGCGAGGTAGAGGAGACATAATAACAAAAAGCCCAAATCAACGACATTAAACGATTTCAAGCGAGGACATGCTACAGCATGAGGCACACTGAAGCACATTGCATGACATACGTCGACCGTAAATATGTGCCATGTGGTGACCATATGCCATTGCGCGCGTACCTATTTATGCATCCGCACACGCCACAGGTCCAATGATTTATTCGTTACTTATAGTCTGCCTAGTCCGGTGCACTGCACACAAGTGCAGCGAAACACAAGCTAACGCAACGTTAACAGGGATTTGGGCTTATTAGATGAGAAGTCGTTCCACGAAGTCGGCGGTCGCTGCTAGCTCGTCGATAAAGAGTACGGCAGTTTACAGAACAAGCTCAAAGTTATAGGCTATGTAGCAGAATGTCAGCAACACCCCAAGATAGATCTGAAGGCTCCGGCAAAGTTCCAGAAGGAAGAAACCAAATAGATATTACTGCGGTGGTAGAACAGATAAGAACGAAAGCAAGGATCAAAACCGTAAACGAGTATGTAGTCATCATATATTCGAGGTCCGCTAGTCCCGGAGAGAGGCGGTC